GGCACTCATGGACGTTGTACCAAAAAGGACGGTCTTTATATCTATATTACGACATCCAATAAAGCTGACAGAATCCTGGTTTGTCTATATGAAAATTTCTAAGAGACTGCACATAGACATGGAGACTTTCTTAGAGGCTCCTCAGAAATACTACTCCAGGTACGGGTATGTCAACGGGGTCTCTCAGCCGTTTCCAAATTCAATGTTGTTCGACTTAGGACTGCATCCAATAGAGTCATTAAATCAGTCCAAAGTGTATGAAAAAATTTTGGAAGTAGATGAAGTGTTTTCATTAGTTATGATAGCAGAATATTTTGACGAGTCATTGATATTACTTAGAGACCTACTTGGCTGGTCGTTTCAAGATATAGCGTACTTCGCACAAAACATGCGCAAGAAAACTGGCGGCAAAACGGAGATCATGAGTTTGAAAACGATACAAAATATCAAGAAAATCCATGCTGGAGATTTGAAACTTTACGAGCATTTTAATAAAACATTTTGGAGAAAAGTCCACACATTTGGTGAAGAAAGAATGCAGAAGGAGCTAAAGGAATTTAACGCTGTCAAGAAGGCGTGGGAAATACGATGTATAAGTGAACGTGTATCTTACAGCAATATGACTGATAAAGAGTTCAGGCCCTATGAAACTATGGTTCTTGGGTACAGACTGAATCCAGAGATGGCCAACGACACCAACTGCGTCCTCATGGCGACGCCAGAACTACCCTTTACTAGGAGAATCTACAAACGCATGTTTACCATGAAACAATTAAAAGGAAATACATTTAACACCGAGTTGATAAAAGAGTGGACGCCTTTCGATGCTGATTCTAAAGTCAAATCTAAGGTACGATGAAAAACTTTGAAAATCATAACAAACCCGACATAACATTTTTCCGATATAATGAACAATATTATGTGCTCTTTTACCTGAAAGTATAAGGCATTCATATCAGCCATGTCACGATACAGATCGGATATTGGACTATAGTCAGTATACATGTGACAGGATACACTGTGCCAGTAAATATCTGCATGCTAATTTTATGTAAGTAACGTTATAAAATAACACACAAAAAATTCACACTCATTGTTTGTTTGCATTCAGACTTGTGTTATCATATTATGTATTGATTATGCTGTAAGTTAAAAAAAAACGAAGTAAAATCACCCAAATATATTGTATGGTTTATAATCATTTTGTTTTTCATATTTCACCAATTTATTTATCTATTTGTGAATTTTTCTCATTAGGCTTTGTTCAGTCATTGAGAGTTGCGCTTTACAGAGCAATAGATCCTTTGAATTAATTTATTTCTTATTTGTGCGTGGGAAGAGGTACACAATCGACTACCACGGATTTTTGTACGGATGGGCTTTGGACTAACGAACCTTTGGAATTTCACCACACACACACACACACACACACACACACACATATATATAATTATTATTATTACTCTGATACGGTGCTAAAACATTTTAAAATCATAAAATCAAAGTAAATATTTCTCAGTAACTGCAATGCTTATGGGTAGACGGAAAGTTGGTCCAGGATTTATTTTTCTCAAACAATTTTTAGTTTGTTTGAACAAAATTATGAACGTAGGCCTACTGCTGTGGATAAGGCAACAATAGTGTTGATGATTTCAAAGTTCTACATTTCTTATTATGAGTTCAAACCATTCGGCAACTTCAAGAAATTCCATAACGGCGTCGCGTATGACAGCTGACCTATAGACCACCCAAAACAAAACCATTTAGATAGGCCATTCAAAAAGTAATGAAAAGTCGACTTCCTATTTATGACTAGCGTTAAGTACGTCACAATGGGAAAAATCAAACGTAAATTCGCTTGTATCAAAATCACACTCAGTCATATCGTTACACTTACCAAGAGTAATGTTAGTAATTGGAAGCCACTAGTGAAAAAGGAGCGGGGAATGTTTTCTTTCTTGTTTCAGTCTCTGTCTAAGGCAGTGTAGATTTTCCTGAGTTTCCTGTATCGGTTGAAATTTCGGTAATTTTTGTATCTAAGGGCAAACTTGAAAAACATCTTAACTTTGTTCTTTTTCTTATGAGAAAAGGATACTTTGCAGTATTTATACATCGCAGGGGGGTCATATTATGGTTAGAAACATCTAAAACCCTCGCACACTCAAAAGACAAATGTGATATTTTTCGTTAATTCGTTTTTGTAAACAACTCCTTCAACTCCAATGGTTAAATTTGCATCTAGGGCACATAGAAAAAGAACTACAGACTCCACAGGTATCAAAGCATTGTTGGTAACTTTTCTTAAAATCTTAACAATCTGACCCCATGTTTGTGTATGGAGTATGACTTTATGATTAAAATGGAGAACTTAAGAAGAATTATTTAAAGGTATATTTTAATTATATATAGTGTTTTGTAAAGTAACTGAATTGATTGCAATGCTCTTATGATACTTATAAGACTGCGTGTAATGTAAACGGGAGAATGTCGCTAGAGATTGCATGAGGTAGAGATAGAAAGAAAAGGGTGCGGGAACCAACTGGAAAGTTGTTAATAAATAATACGAAAGAATATAACAGAGTTGTATTTACTACCTCGCGTAACAGCAAAACAAAGACAACAACTTCGTCATGCAAGTAAGTGAGGGGTTGCTCTCGTTTGATTACATTTAGTTAATTTATCAGTCTGTGATCATGATCAATTTAACTATTCATATTCATATTCATTTTTATGATTAATTCGCCACCGATTTCAAACGGGCATCGAGACCAATGCGTCACAAAGTCACGAGATATTAATTCCAAGTAAAAAAAAAAAAAAAAGAGAAAGCAAAAACATTTTCAAACTTTTACTTTATACAAATTGTATTTACCATAATCGTCTTGTCAATATCATCTTTCATTCTTTAGAATGAAAATAGCCTTTACTTGTTTTGCATAAAAGGCGCATTTGCTGAGTGGGGTTTCCAGTCGTCCATAGTTCTTCATTTTTGAGATAACTTTTATTTTCTGTTCATCATTAAAACCTTTTTTCCTGAATTTTGATTTTTGAAATAATTTATTCATTCATAATTAATAATACAAAAAATCCTGAATTGTGATTCTTTACACATCAGTTCACATATCCACCTACAACATATCCACCAGTAACCCTGCTTGATGCTGGTATTTCTGGTCTTTCCAGTATATTTTTGATGTCTTGAAGTTTGGAAAGTATGTCTCATAACAATTTAATTATGAAAAGGAATTTTGGTTGTCAGTCATCAGCTAAAAATGCATTAACAAACAAAATTGCCTTGGCTCTTAGAAAAGAATTTAAGTTCACAAAAGAGGAATTAAAGGGATAACAACTGTTCGTGAGTTATCCATATTTCACAATAAATGCATTGCAAACAGCTTATAGAAATATAATGAATTCCATTTTACCACCAAAAACGTTGGTTAACGCAATTATTCTGGAATTTGTGTTTGCCATCACAACACGTAACCTCCATAGATGGCTACATTATGTAATAATCTCTTAAAGAGAATATTACAGATATCCAAACTTTTTAGGAAAAAAAAAAAAAAAAAAAAGAAAAAAAAGGAAAACAGGGACGTCTAACTTTGAATGTGGGTTTGGATTCATTAACCATTGGTAAGTATGAAAAAATTGTCCTTTACCCCATGAAATCCATTTTTTGCCAAAACGAACATTTGTCATCCCTTTAACTGAAACAGTTTACTGAACTGGCTCAGAATAAGAGAATACCAGAATATGCCAAATTGATGAGCCCATACTTGTCGATACAAGTGATTAATCATAAACATCTTTTATAAAACATTTTACATAGTCAAAATCATTAACTTTTAACCTGGTCTTTAAACATGTCTGTCCAACATCAATCAGGGCTAATTCGCTACAAATGTAAGCGAGCTTTTTCTCCTCGGCGACGAGCTGCGCCACATGGTGTAATGAAATTTTTATAACTTATATAATGAAATCTTTTTATAACCCGCAAAACGCAATCCGCAATCCCATGGTTCGTGTCAGCTTTACTTGAGGTCGCTCAAAGAAAACCCAAGGGCACATAATGACCAGTTGAACGGTTTATTTGATCTGAACTCCCAAATATTACTTCTGAACGTCTTATATAGGCCTACAAATTTCTTATCAAAGGTAGATTAAATGCTGCATTTCGCGGTAGATACTAATTTTAATTACTCAGATTGCACACGCCCACTTGCGTTATATAAATTACATGCAAGACCATAAAACGAGTCGAGTGCACAAGCAAGCGAGTACAATTAAATTAATTAACAAGTCTGGGGATTATATTTGTGAACTGAACAATGGGTGCAAAAACTCATGAACATGTAGGCCTATGGGTAGAGAAAGAAAAGAATGCACATGAATGAAAAGTTGTCCAGCTTAGCTAACAGCAGAAGAGAGTGGGCATCATTTCTATCACGTTACAGTCATCATATATAGTCCTTTTCGTTTTTGTGTGTGTGTGTGTGTGTGTGTGTGTGCGGCTTTATTGAGAAAGTTTGGAATTGGATTACGGATTACTTCAGAAGATAGGCCTAATTAGTGAGGGGCACGTGCCGGCTTTTCCCTCCCCCACTCACCCCATCCCCCACCCACCCACTGGGTCTGCCAGAGGAAATTCGGTCAGTCGTTTAAATATAGTGTAGTTTTCTGGCATCCCACAGATAATTCTCACCTGCCGCAATTCTACCACACTGCCAATCATTGCCGTGTTTACATAGAGTTATGCTAATAAGTCTTGATCATACGAGAAACAGTATTCCACTGGGTGAAATTCACTAGGTGAATGCTATTTATTGATTGTATACAGAGGTCAGGATTAAAAAAAGGGGGATTGTTTTAATTACATCTCTATGTTTTTAAGTAGCACATTCAAATACAAAGGCTGTCTATGTAAATTAGCTTGAATTTTCACTCTAAATATTATGATTGATAATTAAATTCTCCCAACTCCCCACTTGCGTCTGTATTAGCAGTTCAGATTTTCATGGCCGACATCTTTATCGAATAAGTACAAAAACAGTTCGTGTTTGAATTGAAATATTATCCTTCTTTTAGATGTATGAGGCTCGTGTATAAGATTTTGACATAAGAAGGTCTTTACAAGAGCCTTCTGGGGGACAGCATCTCTGTAAATTCAGTAAGTATGCCGATATTTTTGCGTTAAGGGGAGTGGTAAACGGATTTGTAAACTGATGTTAGGTTTTAACGTACTTCTCACTGTTGACAAAAATTGCGTAAATCGAATGTGAGGCGTTTTTTGGCGAGGTAGAGGATTAGGATTTTAAAAACATTTCAAGTGACAATAATGCAACAATGTGTCAGAGGGTGCTGTTATACTCTACTCTCCATTGTGCCTTAACTGTCCGCCATTTTGAAAGTACTTTTTTTTTTTTTTTTTTTTACATGATTGATGTACCAATCAAGTGATGTGTAAAAACTGCCGTTTTATCTTGGTTTCTGCGCTTTTGAGAAATTTTGTGCAGTATTTTAGTTTTAAAGTATTCAGTATATTTGTATTTAATCACATTCACCTTAGATTAAAATGTGGTAAAATATGTGGACTTGAACCTGAATAAGTTATGTCACAGTTAAGGAATTTTGACGTTTGCAAGACATCAACATCTTTGTGAATGTTGGCAAACTGGAATTTATCTGTTTTAAGTGCTTTGTAAAATTGCCCTGTTTACTATGACAAGGACCAGTGTAGGGATCGTGGATGTGAGCATGTGCAATCACCAGCTGTTCAGGTTCATTGTTTAGCCAGACCACAGGCTGCTCTTTGTTCATTAACCAGGTCAAACTGAACTACCTGCCAAAGGACCTTTGTTATTGCTATAAACTGAAAGTCATTTTTAGTCAGAACTTATACAGTTTAAAATGTTTTATGCCTTGTTTAAAATGAGATCTTTTACATAATTTTGCAGGGATGAGTAATGTTGGTTCCACAGTTTCGTATTCATGTGCTATGTGAAGAAGTAGCACAATGTAGTGGATTGTTCAACGGCTTGCCCTGACCAGAAATTATGGTGAAAGAAGACGACACTCCTCAACAAGGGCTTGCTAATCCGACCTACACTAAATGGCTGTTAGAGGCCATTCGTAAGATCAAGCATCAGAAACAAAGGCCGAGCTGTGAACGCATTTGTAACGCTGTCAGACAATATCATGAAATATGTGATGATTTGGTCATTGAGCAGTTGGAGCTAGCAGTCAAAGATGGTGCTGTTCTTAAGGTCTATAATAAGGGGCTGATCTCTTTTAAGGACCCAGCACGTGTTACCAAGCTAAGGAGCCGCACAGTTAAAATCTCTAAGAAGACTGACTTGACCAAATTGATAGTAAGAAGCATCAAAGAATTAGGTGAAATTGGTGGCTCTACCTTAAAAAGTATCGGAAAATATATCCGCAATAGTTACACAGTTCAATCTGTAGATGATGTTGATGTGAGTGCCCAGCTTCGCCTGTCTGTAAAAAAAGCAATCAAGACAGGTCAACTTGTTCAGGAAGGACGTTTTCTAAGGCTAGGCTATGGAAGTAGTGGAGAGTCTGAATCCATAGGAAGCAGTGGTAGCGGGAGTTTTGGACCAGGATCATTTGATGAAGACTTAATGATTACAAGTGACTTTTCAACCAACATGAAAAAGGTATGGATTTGAAAATTTTTAGCATAAAACATTACTGTGTAGAGTGGACTCTCTTACTTCATTTATAAGTGAAATGACAATGCATAAGTGACATCTACTAAACATTATGTGTTTAAAAAAATTAAGATTTTAACAAATACCTACTAGTCCTTGATATAAACATTTGTCTATTTTTTAAACAATGGATGTGTTTTTAAAATGATTTTTACATTTGATCTGTTGAAAAAGTGAGTAGATGATAGATTTACCTGTAATGGCAGATTTACACAAGTAGTTGGTGTTTTATTGTAAATACGTAGGAGGGTCTTGAAAATCAGTGTTGCTTCATCTTCATATGCTCTTAAGTGATTGAAACATTTTTAGTCCAGTGAATCATTAAAGGAAAATTCTTATTTGAGCTATGGTTTAGATGGATATATAGTCTCTCTGGGCATGTCCACAATATTTTGGACATTTGAACTAGCTTAGTGGTTTGTTAGAAGACCAAATTACTTAATGTGTCAAACTTTGTAAATAAAGTGTGATGATTTTTTTTATTCCTAGATTCATGTGATAGAGTAAAGGAATCAAATTACACCGTTTATTAGTTTTACAAAAATGCATGGTTATAAACAACACGTTATATGATCATTTTAAAGATGTTAGCATACTCTGCTTTATGTTGTTATTGTCAAATTACCGATTATATATGTCAATATGATGTATATGCTAATTAGCATGAATTAAGTTTGTTAATGTTATTCTCTTAGCCATTTTCATTTAGATTATAAGAAATTCATTTATTTTTACTGTTCTATGCCCACCAAGTATGTGGTCAATTTACCTGGAAAACTGAAAGTCCGATTTCACTTTTTAAAAGACAAATGGTTAACAGTAGACCTTTACACAACAAAAGTATAGATTTTCCTGCAAATAACAAAAATATATATTTTCCAGCATTTAGTCACTGTGGTATACCTTATGCAAGATTGTGAAAAAAATTATGGTCTATTAATCTGGTTTGAAACTCTGAATTTCTTATTTTCACTATAACAAGTAAAATTCACCAGTCTCCATTTTCATAACCATGTTGGCTATCTTGTACTCCATAACTGTAATGACAATGTATAAATGACATCTACTCTTATTTCTGTACCTGTATTGCTTTGATAGAAGAAAGCCTCTCCAATGCCTGTGTGTAGTTTTTGCCTTGGAACAGCAGAGAAAAATCGCAGTGGTGTGCAAGAAGAACTGATTTCTTGTGCAGAATGTGGCAATAGTGGTAAGTATGAGAGAAGTCCAGAAGGTATTTTATGCTTTGGGATTTAAAGTCCCGATTTTTTTTTTTGCTCTAAATTGACAGTGGGGTGTCTTAAATTGGTAAGATGATACATTTTATTTTCAATGTGGGATATGTTTTGCCATAGTAAGAAAAAATGTTGATTTAATCATTGGCTGGACAGTTACATCCATGGCAAGTTTGAGGTATCATTTGCACAAAACATTCAATTTTACAGTTTTTCCTGACAGTAGGCAGATTTGTTCTTATAAGTAATGTATGGTTTAGTTGCTCAGTACGCCAGGTAGATATTTTCTTGTATTTAATTGTAACACTACCAGCAGGAGGCACTTTAGATTTGTACCAAAGCAAAAATGAAAATACTGGTGAATATACAAATGAGGTTTCAGTTTCAAACTTGCTTGAGTTATCTGTAGGATTAATATACTTATTTTTGGCCAGTTGGTGTATTTTCAAAGGATTGACTTCTATATGTTAAGTTTGCATCAAAGCAAACAGACAGTACAACTGATTTTTGTAAGGTGGTCTCATTCTGAAACACATTCACAGATGGTCGTACATGGACAGGACTTGGTCCTGGCTGTCTCACCTGTTTTTTAATATCATCTGTTGCTTGTAATCTTACCTATTTTTATAATTATTGTAGGCCATCCATCATGCCTGAAGTTTTCAACAGAGTTGACTTCCAAAGTGAAGACTTTGAGGTGGCAATGTATAGAGTGCAAGACTTGTTCTTTTTGTGGGGAATCTGGTAAAGAGGTAACAGAGTTACTTCTTTTTGTTAGAATAATAGAAATTAAAGCAGCAAAGTCATCACCAATTATTAAGTGCTATTATTGATGAAAAAAATTTGACTGGAGGAAAAAAAGCACTGAGGCACAGTTTAAAACATAGAGAGGTTTTTCTTGTAGACCAATTAACTTTTGCTTAACTGTATGTTAATTTTAAAACATAAGATTTTTTTCAGTGAAGTCAAAAAACTAAATTGCTTCATTGTTCCAGGATAACATGCTGTTTTGTGATTCTTGTGATCGAGGATTTCACATGGAATGTTGCGTACCTCCTATAAGTAAACCCCCAAAAGGTATTGTAATTCTTTATTTTGCTATCATGAAATATTGAAGAATTTATATAGGTCACAGCGTGTCTATTATATGCTAACATTAAGAGTGTGGAATAATAAAAAAATTGTCTGTTAGTGTGAACACAAGGTAAAAAGGGTTTTAGTGAGTAGATAAGTGTTGCAACGTTAATTGTGATACAACTAAAGTAACTCTGTTTCTTCATTTCTAGGCAATTGGATCTGCAATATCTGTGATCCCACTAAAGGTGGGAAGAAAGCGCAGAAGGTGCTACAGGAGTTCTATGTACGGCAAAAAATTGCCAGTGGATCAAACAGAGTATCAAAGCCAAAGTCAACAGTCAAATCAGTTGCTAAAACAGGGTAGGTAAAAATGACAGGATGTCTGCACACTTTTCATTTTTAGATAAGTGTCTGTACATATTTTGATCATAGCTGTTTTACTATGTCTTTGCATAATACTTTTTGCCCTGTTACTGCCATATTGTGTTTTTCTAGTACTTGAAACTTTACCGAGAATTAAAAAAAAATATATAGTTTGAATAATTGTTGACCAGATTTCTGTATTTGTATTTATGTGTCCTCAGGTGCCCAACACCAGGTTGTGATGGTTCTGGTCACATAACTGGAAAATACACTCATCACAGGAAGTAAGTTACAACTTCATATTGTTTTTTTTTAAGGAAAACCAAGGTAAATTTATTTAATTCTTATACAGTCGCAGTTTTACATTAAAGTTGCCTCAAACATCTGTCCATGTTGCTGGAGTAAAAGCTGGAGCTGAGCACATCTTTTCGGAATGAAGTAGCTGGAATGCCAAGTTGTTTATTTTGCTGTAAAATTTTGCATAGTTTTGTGACTGAAATAAGTTGTTAAATATTCAGTGTTTATGGTGGTAGAGGATTATACACTTGCCAATGTTAGTGGGCTTGTCCATTATTATTTTAGAAATTAAATATCTCTCTAACTTGTAAAGGTTTCAATTTTAACTGAACACCGGACATTTCTTATTTTTACAGGCCATATGCTTGTCCAAAGTTAGCAGCTAGATTAGGTCGCAGGCCAAGCATTGGAAGACCAAAGAAATCGGTCAATGATGGAGGAGTCAAAAATGCTAAAACATCTAGTGTTAAATTAATAAATGGAGACCACAGTCCTTCTTCATCTGAGAGCAGTTCAAGTGAATCAGAGGAAGAAGAACAGTGTATGGAGCGAGAGCAGGAGGAGACTGATGCATTTGGCAATCCTTTAAGTGTGGTATCTGGAAAACCAAAAGGACTCATAGATGGACTTACTCGTTTTTTCACTCCAACAGACCGAAGGAGGTCAAAGGTGTCGCAGAATGCTTTCTCTGGATCATTAGCCCCAGCTTTCCTAAAGAAAGCACAAGCCAAAGCCAACAAGAAGCAAAGTAAAACACAGCAGGCAGCCAACAAGCTAATCAAAAAGTACAAAGCCAATAAACAGCAAGGTCATAAGAAGGCAACTGTTCAAAATCAGAGAGGTAGTGGACAACTTAAAGGCCTTTTTGATGGTCTTTCCCATTTGTTTACTGCACAGGGTGAACGTAAAAAAGCTATCCCAGTGTATGCTTCACCCCAGAGATTTAAAAAGTTCAAATTGGACTCTAAACCCATGGTTCAAGGAGCTTCTTCAAGTGACAATAAAACCGGTGACATCATCAGTGCTAATACTACTACCACTTCTACTACTACTACCACACCTAGTGGACAAGGCTCATTATCAAAGTTAGGGCGAGGTGCTTTTCATCGTCATTTAGGCTTTGTGTCAGGGCGGGGCAGGGGGAGGGGTTTAGTCAAAATGCCCTCCCAAAGTCAGTTGTCTTCTCCATTAGCAAAGCAAGGACGTGGTGGTGTTACGTCAGCTAAGTCCAGTGTGCACTGTGGCCATGACGTCAAAGGCAAAGGAAGGTTGTCCCTGGGTAAGGACTGGCATGCTGGAGTATGATCAATCTAGGCAGATTTTTCGATTTTATTTCTAAAGTGTCTTTGGCTTGGGCTGCATTATGCATTTATAGCTGACATGCTGTGTCATTCTGTTGTAATTAACTTAGATTAGCTACATTACGTGCATGTTCATTTCCTTTGAAGGTGGTGGTAATGTGTTTCTGCTGGGCCCCTTCACAAAATAATAAATAATAAGTCGGTGGACTAAGCTAAGCCAGCTAAACTCAGTGGTACTACATAGGCAAGAAAATGCTAAAAGCGTGACTGTTTCAAGAATGGTTAGCACACTTGAATGCACTCACCAATGTGAGTAAAAGTTCAGATACTAAGCTTCAAATTTTTTATCTGGCTGAGTTGGCTGACAGTCTTAGTTGGCTTAGCTATGACTACCATTTAAGTTCTATTTTGAGAAACGGGTCGCAGAGCAGCTTTGCTTTGTTTGCAGTCTTCATCAGTACATAATATAAAGATGGAATGAAAAAAGTTCTTGTGATTGCCTGCACTTCTGTACCTTCTGTTTATCTGATGCTAAAGATCTGGGAGTGTACACTGGGTTGCAGATTTTGTGCACATTGTTTTACACACATTTATTTCACTGTTTACTCAGTTTCTGTACTTCTCTTTGCACGAGTGCTGACTTGTCAAGTATGCATTGTTCCTGCATGTGTAAATGTTATATTGTAAATTAATGTACATTAGATTGAGTCTCCTGTTTGTGGACTAGGATGTTCTCTTTGTGTTGTGCAATTTTTAGTGTCATACATTGAAGGGTTATTAGCCTATTGCTATCCACACAGATATATTCATGTTGATTATAGCAATAACCAAATCTCAAAACAAATACATATCTGCTAAAATGGAAAAAAAACTTTTAACATTTTTTGCCATTTGTCACCTCGAGCCTCTTCATGGCATTGCCTCTGACTGGGTGGTTTTGTAATATTCCATTGTGAGTGCATTCTCAAGGCATTGCACTAGTAATGTAATATTTGAATGATGCATTATGAGAAATTATAATTCTCAGTTTGGTGTTTTTTAATACCAGATGAAGTGATTATTCTGATTTCAATCACCTCTTCAAGTTTTACTGGTTTTTGTCTTTCAGGTGATTCATCGGATCAAGATTCAAAAAAGAGTGCTGTCCCAAAAATCACTGAAAAGGACATAAGTCTGTTCAAAAAAGCACAAGACAGAGCCTTAAAGGTAAATTAATTTAAACCCAGAGTTAATTGTGCGCTGTACAAACTGTGATTATGGTACTTTATACATGGTTTTATTTGAAGTCAACCTTTTTATATACAGGGACAGGAAGTTCCTGTATATATACTGTGATCTGCTCATGTTGATGTCTGATATGTACTCATTCACCCTACCAACTACCAAACATTACTTACTGGAAAGTTGTTGAATGGTGAAAATGCAGGCCAAATGGGAAATATTACAATTGTTTTATTAAATTTTTACACTAATGGTGTTTTTCACATTTTACAACACCATAACTGCTTCATAGCTTGGATGTTAAGAGGTTTTGTACTCAGATCAACTCCAACTAAGCTCACAAATTGTCATAGCCAGATTAAAAAAAAAATTCTTGTTCACCTATCTTTTTGCAGATCAATTAGAAATTCGGTATAAATATATATACTTGATTTTGTTTAATATTTGTCCACCTCCACTTGTGTACCATCTGTTCTGATGACATCTCATCCAATTATCACAAACACAACTCTGTTATGAAAAATGTCACCCATGTCCTGTTTTGCATAAATGGTTGGGTCATACTTGGTTATTTTTCGCAATTGTGTGATGGGTCAAATTTCTCAAATTTTTTTTTTTTGTGTTTCCTAAAAATATTTGCTATTTTACAAAGAACCCCAAGAACCTTTTCTTTTGTTGTTATTTATGAATTGCTGTATATATGCTGGCCTTGCTTGTGTAGTTGTAGAATTACATTTGGTTAATGATGTTGAAAGGAAAGTCTCCTTTCAGGGGCTGTAACTTGAATCAAATAAATCATTTTGTGTATATTATTTAGTACCTGGATGACAACTGCACTGTCATTCTAGTTTCTGATGGCAGTGGTGGATATTGCGATTTGTATCCACCTGTCACTTAACTATAATCTTCAGTTGGCCGAGAAACAAATACTTAGGTGCAATCATTGGATTACAGAAGCTATAGATAAAAATCTATATGTGCTATGATGTGACTTAAAGTAGTTTTACCATTGTGAATTCTAAGATTTGATATTTTATGCATTTATTCAAAGTCTGTATTACTGGGCCCATTGAAGTACAAGAAGAGTGATTGGCAGAAGCTAGTTATGATAAACATGGGATAATATACCAAAATTACCTCCGAGTCTTAAATGCATATGTTCAGCTATCACATTATTCAGGCATTAAATTAAATGGACAGAAAGTAGTGTTTAAGAATACGAGAGTCCCTGAAGGTAGATTTTCCCTTAATCGTGCAATGCACATGGTGCTAGCAACTGCATGTTATCACTTTCCTCTTATGTACATTTTCTTGTTTTGCTTAAAACACTATCACATGGTTGGTTTTAGGATAATGCTTTCATTATCGCTTTGAAATAGTAGTGTATCAAATTTCTCTTGTGAATGCAATGCAGCTTGTAAATTATATTAGTTGTTGACACCTGTGATCTNACTAAGCTTCAAATTTTTTATCTGGCTGAGTTGGCTGACAGTCTTAGTTGGCTTAGCTATGACTACCATTTAAGTTCTATTTTGAGAAACGGGTCGCAGAGCAGCTTTGCTTTGTTTGCAGTCTTCATCAGTACATAATATAAAGATAGAATGAAAAAAGTTCTTGTGATTGCCTGCACTTCTGTACCTTCTGTTTATCTGATGCTAAAGATCTGGGAGTGTACACTGGGTTGCAGATTTTGTGCACATTGTTTTACACACGTTTATTTCACTGTTTACTCAGTATCTGTACTTCTCTTTGCACGAGTGCTGACTTGTCAAGTATGCATTGTTCCTGCATGTGTAAATGTTATATTGTAAATTAATGTACATTAGATTGAGTCTCCTGTTTGTGGACTAGGATGTTCTCTTTGTGTTGTGCAATTTTTAGTGTCATACATTGAAGGGTTATTAGCCTATTGCTATCCACACAGATATATTCATGTTGATTATAGCAATAACCAAATCTCAAAACAAATACATATCTGCTAAAATGGAAAAAAAACTATTTTAACATTTTTTGCCATTTGTCACCTCAAGCCTCGTCATGGCATTGCCTCTGACTGGGTGGTTTTGTAATATTCCATTGTGAGTGCATTCTCAAGACATTGCACTAGTAATGTAATATTTGAATGATGCATTATGAGAAATTATAATTCTCAGTTTGGTGTTTTTTAATACCAGATGAAGTGATTATTCTGATTTCAATCACCTCTTCAAGTTAAGTTTTACTGGTTTTTGTCTTTCAGGTGATTCATCGGATCAAGATTCAAAAAAGAGTGCTGTCCCAAAAATCACTGAAAAGGACATAAGTCTGTTCAAAAAAGCACAAGACAGAGCCTTAAAGGTAAATTAATTTAAACCCAGAGATAATTGTCCGCTGTACAAACTGTGATTATGGTACTTTATACATGGTTTTATTTGAAGTCAACCTTTTTTTATACAGGGACAGGAAGTTCCTGTATATATACTGTGATCTGCCCATGTTGATGTCTGATATGTACTCATTCACCCTACCAACTACCAAACATTACTTACTGGAAAGTTGTTGAATGGTGAAAATGCAGGCCAAATGGGAAATATTACAATTGTTTTATTAAATTTTTACACTAATGGTGTTTTTCACATTTTACAACACCATAAGTGCTTCATAGCTTGGATGTTAAGAGCTTTTGTACTCGGATCAACTCCAACTAAGCTCACAAATTGTCATAGCCAGATTAAAAAAAAATTTCTTGTTCACCTATCTTTTTGCAGATCAATTAGAAATTCGGTATAAATATATATACTTGATTTTGTTTAATATTTGTCCACCTCCACTTGTGTACCATCTGTTCTGATGACATCTCATCCAATTATCACAAACACAACTCTGTTATGAAAAATGTCACCCATGTCCTGTTTTGCATAAATGATTGGGTCATACTTGGTATTTTTCGCAATTGTATGATGGGTCAAATTTCTCAAATTTTTTTTTTTTGTGTTTCCTAAAAATATTTGCTATTTTACAAAGAACCCCAAGAACCTTTTCTTTTGTTGTCATTTATGAATTGCTGTATATATGCTGGCCTTGCTTGTGTAGTTGTAGAATTACATTTAGTTAATGATGTTGAGAGGAAAGTCTCCTTTCAGGGGCTGTACCTTGGATCAAATAAATAATTTTGTGTATATTATTTAGTACCTGGATGACAACTGCACTGTCATTCTAGTTTCTGATGGCAGTGGTGGATATTGCGATTTGTATCCACCTGTCACTTAACTATAATCTTCAGTTGGCCGAGAAACAAATACTTAGGTGCAATCATTGGATTACAGAAGCTATAGATAAAAGTCTATATGTGCTATGATGTGACTTAAAGTAGTTTTACCATTGTGAATTCTAAGATTTGATATTTTATGCATTTATTCAAAGTCTGTATTACTGGGCCTATTGAAGTACAAGAAGAGTGATTGGCAGAAGCTAGTTATGATAAACATGGGATAATATACCAAAATTACCTCCGAGTCTTAAATGCATATGTTCAGCTATCACATTATTCAGGCATTAAATTAAATGGACAGAAAGTAGTGTTTAAGAATACGAGAGTCCCTGAAGGTAGATTTTCCCTTAATCGTGCAATGCACATGGTGCTAGCAACTGCATGTTATCACTTTCCTCTTATGTACATTTTCTTGTTTTGCTTAAAACACTATCACATGGTTGGTTTTAGGATAATGCTTTCATTATCGCTTTGAAATAGTAGTGTATCAAATTTCTCTTGTGAATGCAATGCAGCTTGTAAATTATATTAGTTGTTGACACCTGTGATCTTTATTTCTGCTTGTATTTGCTTGAAGTCTGCATGTTGTGTAACCCTGTAATAATCCCTCAGTTCGGTTTACTGTAGACATCATTACAGGTTTGTGAGAAGGAAGCAGAGAATGTCAGTGCTACCACAACAGCCAACATCCCAGAGCCACAGGGACGGCATCCACCAGTGATTGAATTTGGGAAATATGAAATAATCACATGGTACTCCTCACCATACCCCCAGGAGTATGCACAGCTGCCCAAATTGTACATTTGTGAGTTTTGTCTGAAGTATATGAAGAGTCGGAGTATATTAAATAGACACTTAGTAAGTATCCTGGTTGTCCCAAGTCAAACAGCATGAAAACAATGTTTGTTACAGTTACAATAATGTAAATTAATGACTCTTCATTAAATGAATCAATTTCAACCAGTAATGTAGGTAAGTCTGCATTTAATATACTTGTATAATCCAATTGATCAGCCACTTGAGTGCACTGTATTAATTATTCCAGTTTCCATATCATGTTTTTGTTATGTTATAGAATTATAGTGATTTGCCTTTGCTATATGAAAAAGTCAATGTCCTCTGTTTTGCAGCAAAAGTGTGGTTTGCACCATCCCCCAGCAAATGAGATTTACCGCGAGAGTGGTCTGTCTGTATTTGAAGTTGATGGAAATATGAACAAGATATACTGCCAGAATTTGTGCCTCCTTGCCAAGCTGTTTTTGGACCACAAGACCTTATACTATGATGTGGAGCCCTTTCTTTTCTACGTGCTTACTGTCAATGATGATGATGGCTGTCACTTGGTGGGATACTTTTCAAAGGTAATAGAAGTATATATCAAATAAAGGAACCTTGCATTTTGTTTTTGTACTGGACATGCTTAAAAACTGTTAATTTTTCAAGCAATGTAGCACCTGATCTCTTATAGTCTTGTTAAAAAATTTCAGGAGAAACACTGCCAGCAGAAGTACAATGTTTCTTGTATTATGACAATGCCGCAGTATCAAAGAAAAGGTTATGGGAGATTCCTCATTGACTTCAGTAAGTTCCTTCAGTGTTATATAAAAATGTTTTTATTATTTAGATGGGTTCGGTTTTGGGGACTCTGGATTCTCTATATATTATATTAATTTGAGATATGACCCAAAGGACATGTTGATTTGTGGTAGTTCCATTCATCTGACTTCAAAGGCTGTACTTTCATATAGTATGCTTTAAAAGCAAAGATTGATGTAGCAATAGCAACATGGTAGATTAATTTAAGTTGAAATTTAGTGTTGCCTTAAAGAGTGGGCCTTACAGCCAAGTATTATGAATGTCATTATCCAGTAATTTTGGTTGATGCAGGTGCAGTTCTGCATAAATGATTTCTTATGCTGCTTGTGAAATGAAGGGACCAGAAAATTTTTTTTCAGTAAAGATTTTAACTGACCAAAATTGTATGGAAATCATTTGCAAACAGCCTAGGCACAGGGAGTTATGTTTCCTGACCTTGTATTTTGTAGGTTATCTGCTTTCGAAGATAGAAGGTCAGCCAGGGTCTCCTGAAAAGCCTCTATCAGATCTGGGCAAAGTAAGCTACCAGTCCTACTGGAAGAGTGTCATCATGGAGCATTTGCACAAGGTCCGGGATTCTAAAATTACCATAAAGGGTAAGGTGTAATTTGTTAATGTCCACTTGTTAAAGATGTCATGTCAATAGCCACTGACTTTTGCCATGCTGGAGAATGAAGATGGATGTTGAAAAATTGATGTATGAAGTATATCTCTTTTCACTTGGACAGGGACTGGAAAACAAAAATTGTGAGAATTTAAAAGTAATATAATAACAGCTAATAGCAAAGAGAAATACATTTGACAAGGTTAATTTGAGATAAATGATAATTCAAGTTATAATGCGATGAGTTATACAAGGCCTACAATTCATATAGGAAATTTCAGTACCATGGCAGTCTTACCCTAGTCATTCTACATTACATCACAGGCTTTGCTGGCCAGATGGTACATGGATTAAATTGTATATAAAAACATTTTTAATTCAACTAATATCTTTTTCTTTTTATACAGGAATAAGTCAAGAGACTGGAATGTGCCCTCATGACATTGCTGCAACACTGCAGTCCCTTAATATGGTGCTTAAAAAGGATGACAAGTAAGCATTGTTTTGAGACTTAATGTGAATCATCAGCACATTACACGAGTATCCATCGGGCCCCTTAAATAAGTACCTCACCCAAGTTGTGAATCAGGTTAAATATTTCTACACATGGACAGAGGTGTGCATGTTTTTGCAACATTTGAAAATGGTAGCCAGCTTTAGGTGGTAGTTGCCAACTTATAAAATTAATTTTCAAAAGATTTTAGAATTTTAGGGCGCATTCCCATAGATTTTAGATCGATCTATCCCCGTGGGGAGTCTCACTAGATTACTGTCAGATAATCCGGCTTAAATGTCCGTCCCATCTACTACAGGCTGTAAGGGGGTAATTAACTTTCATACCCGCTCGGCTGACAGCTAATTAGCGTGAACCCCCAGGGAGTTAGGTCGATCTAGTTGGATCGATCTAATCTCTGGGAGTGGGGTTGTTTTTGCAAATGTTATACAAGTTTAACATTGTATCAAGTATAAGACATTGTGAATAAAACATATGCCCTCCAGAAAGTACTTAAAAGATCTACTTTTTGTTCAGAATGAAGATCTGCATCAATGAAAAGAAAATAGCAGAGCACATGGCAAAACTTAGCACACAGGATAGACTGAAACTCAACCCTGACAGCCTGCGGTGGACACCTCTAGTCTCGAACCAGAATGTGATAGACGAGGAGAGGAAAGCTGAAAAAGAGGTTGGTGGTAGCAGTTATTTACATAGTTCATGCCTATAATTTGTATATATATATAAATATTTGCAAATTGTGAAATGCCTTTTTTCTCTTTATTAAGGATTTGATACATAAAAGAAAATTGTGTTAAAGTTGCTCAATGAATGCTGATTGATGTATTTCCAGTTAAAGGAAATGAGTAAAGCAGTAGGTACACTGGCCAGGGAAAGGAAGGCCTCCACATCACAGCAGGCTGCACAGAAGAGTCCAGGGGATAGCCCTGTCAAAATAAAGCGGAAACGTGGGCGACCTCCAAAGAATTCTAAGACAGAAGATACAAATGAACCGTCTAAAAAGAAGTCCAAAGTTGATGACCACAGTGAACACAAAGGTATGATTATAGCTGTTTTCATTCACAAGAAGCTTTTTAGTTGAAAATGTGTGTTGTCATCTTTCTTAAAACACTTTTCTGCTTTGTAAAATAGTAGTTGACTGAATATATTATTATTTGAAAAACTATTACATTTTGAATTTAAATATATGATTTTAGGTGACTCTTCTCATAAATCTCCACCTGGAACACCTAAGAATTCACCAAAGCAGGACAAAAAGACTTTGTCAAAGACTAAATCCAAGCCTGGCCCTAAGAAGACAGCACTGGCAAAAAACGGCCTACCTGTGTCACCCAGGAAAAAGTCTGGGTGGCCAAAAGGTGTAAAAAGAAAGCCAAATTTGAAAAAGTTACCCAAGATTCCAAAAAGAAGGGGGAGGCCTCCAAAAATAAGTCAGGTGAGTTGTTTATGGGTTTCTTTAAGAACCTACAGGGATGATGGTATGCCTGCAGGCTGTGGTCTAGTTTAAAAACATTTTGTGTGGTTTTGGTCAGGTTTGTCCAGTTTAATATTCTGAATGGTAGAAATGTATGTAAAGTAGGTTTAATTGTATCTACATATTTGGTTCATAAGCATTGCCATTTATTGCCAAAGAAACTTCTGAAAGTAGTTACTTTAGAAAAACCTTGTTACATTGCATAATTTAAAGCAAAAAAAAAGTCAGTGTGAGATATGATATTTTGTTTTTAAATGTTATTCTTTTTACTTCAGAACTTAAGTAGAGCCCTGGCAAGTTCTCACAAAAGAATGGCTAATGGTCACCAGAATGACACTGATGAATCCTCCAGTAACAACAACAACAACAATGATAGCAAGGAAACCAACAAAGAAAAGGAGACAAAACACACAGCTAATAACAGGGCGGCTGATGGAGTGGCAGCCAAGAAAGAAGCCAACCTAAATGCAGCAGAGACTGAAAGTAGAGAATACAGAGATAATAGTGATGATGATGATGATGACACAAAACCGTCCTCACCAACTCAGCCAGATCGTTATCCCTCAACATCACTGTACAGTAATAAAGAGGAAGAATCGTCCAGCTCTGATGATAATGTAAATTCTGAATCGGATAGTGAAAGTGACATTGACCAAGACAAAAAGGCAAAGAGAAAGGAAGAGCAGGTAGAGATGGATTCAGTTGTGAAAGAAAAACCAGAGGAAATATTTATGCCTCGTGGTACGTCTACTTGCCAAACAACACAAGACTCTCTGGAAAGAAAAGGTATGAGTGGTGATGATGAGGCTGAGGGTGATGAGGATGCAAATGATAGTGATGAGTATAACAACCGTGAAATGCCAGAGCTTGAGACTGAGTTGAACCAACAGGTTAATGATAATGATGATGACGATGATGTTGACATTGATAAAGCTACCTCCATCCCAGGGTGTCCCTCACCAGAGCCATTGGCTCCAGAATTACAACCTGAGGGCAGGCTGCAGCTCACAGACAATCGCCATTATCATTCACAACAGCAACAACAACAAAGTGAAGAAGATCAACCTGAACAGGTGAGGAAAGAAGACTCTCCCGAACTCACAGTTGACCACTTCAATCAAGATGCTGATGATGAGGAAGAGGAGGAGGAAGAGGATGTTGACAGGACTCCTTCTCCACCAGTTACAGCTGATGAACACTTTGAGTCGCCTGTCCCAAACTCTATGGATACGTCCAGCAATTTGGAAGTAGCTTTGGCCAAGGAACTAGGGGAGAATTTTGATGAAGTTCAGCAGGATGCACAGTTAACTCCAAAGTCCACATCTCAGCAGGAAGGTATGATGTTAAATTCCATGGAACAGCAAACACCAGTGGGACGCCATCAAAAGCAAGGTTGTGGCACTGTGTACCCAAATAGTGGTACTCTTGGTAACAACATGGGAAGTACACCTAATTCAGGTCTGGGGAACAATGGTTACACTGGTGTGGAAATTGATGTGACACAGCTCCCAGTAGGATTGGAGTCTCCAACATCCATTAGTAGTAATGAAATGCCCCATAGCAACAGTTCTGTAGAAACAACACCTACTCCACAGAATTACTCTGACTGTGCCCAGGCACAAGTAAGCTATCACAGCTCTGGAAGCTTCATGGAGACTCAAGACTCCCTGTCAGGAGGCAATGCATACATGGCTGCAGTGTCTAGTAGTGGGCAGTACTGCTCCCCACCTCCACAGCAGCCACCACCACCACCACCGCCGCCGGCCCCCTAACTCTTATGTGTCTATGCAGAACACACAGCGTCTGACACACAATGCTTCATCCTGTGCATTACCTCCACGCCAGATGTCCAACTACCAGCAGAGCAACTCTAGCTGTAGTTTGGCCAAGCTGCAGCAACTGACCAATGGCATCATGGACATGGCTCCAGATAGTACCATGACACCACCTCCTAATCTCACTCCACCACCACCAGTGAACATGACACCACCTCCTCCCATCCAGCGTAACATCACACCTCCTATTCCCAACCTTCAACCCCAGGTGTCTGCTGCCAGTTTGCAGCACTATCATAAGGCATACCAGAGAAGGCAAGGAATGCAGAAAGCCCCCAATGTCACTGTCAACCCCAACGTGTCTTTTACCCCAAATGTCACCATACAGCCTGGCACTAATATGATAACAGGTTATGACATGCTGAATGGTTACAGAATGCAGCAGCTGCAACAAGCACCAGCTGCAATGTTAAATACTAGTTACATTGCCGCCAACCAGCGTTTTATTAATCAGCATCAGTTTCCTATGGGGATGATGAACATGCACCCTCAAGCAGCTAACTTTCAACAACAAATGCAGCCTCCTCAGCCTAGCAATCCTATGTACAATACATACAGCAGTTACTTTAATGCTACTGGAATTCCATCACAAGCTGCTCTCAATCAGCTTAACATGAACAGTGTAATGAGACGATAGGAAGATGAATGTGTAAATAAATATATAGGGGTTTTGTGCAACTTTTGAGGCCTAGTCAGTGCAAGAATGGACATTTTACATGTTTGTACAGGTTAAATAAAGTATGTATGATTATATATGTATATTTAACATATATGTATATGATTATATATATGATTAGACTGTAAATATAGCCCTTATTTTAGTAAGAATTTGTCCTATGAGGTGAAACTTGGTAAAATTTAGTGGACCAGTGTTTAGTGGATGAAATGATATGTAATGTTTTTAGTTTTGTGTACATTTTAGCATTGCTGTTCAAATATAATTATTGAAAGCAGTTTATGTAATAACTGTTGTGAAAAAAAATATATGGAGTACTGTGTTCTAAACAAACAGTACTATACATATTTTATTTATGAATATTGGAGCAGATTAAATTTCTTGAAAGTATTTTATCTTCACCTTCTTGAACATATTTATCATGTCAAGCATTGGACTATAATTGCTTGTCTAGAAAAAGAAAATCTGAAGAACCACCACTGTTGAATTTCTCAGGTTCTTTCATGACTTTACCTTTTTATATATTTTTTCTGTAATAATTTTATCTTGCCTGTAGGTCCATTACCAGAAAGAAAATAAAAAAGCTGTAAATGGAATGCTGTTTTGTACCTTTCTTGGAAAACCAGTTGAAATGGGACTTTGTAAACTGTGGTTATGAAAGGTTTTTCAAATAGTTTGATAATCTTTTAGTAATGTGTCAATTTGCTGACTAAAAAAAATTGTGAGGATGAACATAAATGCATTGCACATTGGCTTTATTTCTCAAGAATATTCCAAAAATTTACTCATTGCTACTTGTCTCTGGGATAATTGTTTTCTTTCAAAAGCTTTTGCAACTATGTGGCAATCAAATGTGATATGTAGTTCTGAATTGCAGTGCTGGAATTGAGCTTTCGGCAATTTCATGATGGTGTATGATAGCTTTGTTCCTGATTGAAGTCTTTATTAATATTCTGATGATGTCAACATTTTGATCAGAATAGGGATGGGGCAACATTGTAGAAAGTACTATAAATATAAAGGATATATATGTATATCTGACAACATAAATTTTTATCATAACTTGTGTGCCATAACTACAAATGACCAAACACCTACTGGTTACTATAAAGAGCCAAATTAACAATATTTTATTTTTCTCCAAAATATGAAAACCTGCCATATTCAGACCTATCAAAGTCACCCAAAATCGACAATTTTCAGATTTATGCATGTCATCAAAATCAATCTGCCACACCTGTCATTCACAAGAAATGTATAAACACCTACATCTCATCAATAAAGCCCCAAATATCTACAGCTATTCAAAAAGCATTTCTGACATCACAGTCTGAAGAAGGGGTGGGGGAGTTTTTTATTTTAATTTTTATTTCATCCTTAATGTTGAGAAAGCCACCGTCTTGTACCTAAAGGAAACTACAAATGACCAAACACACCTGCCAGTCACTATTAAGATCCAAAATAATGTAGCGTTTCATTTTTCCCCAAAATTAAAAAAACTGCCATATCCGGACCTATAAAAATCAGCCAAAACTTGACAATTTTCAGATTTATATATAGTATGTACATGAAGCCAGACTTAAATAATTTGAAATTAGTGTCTCATGTAAAATTCCTTCCTTTTATTTACATACTATTTATAAGACTCACCTTAGTGCCCACCACCCCCTTTTTACCTCATGTTTGTGCCATCCCAAGATAAAGACAACATATTTGGCAATCTTTTTGAGTTTTTAATCCCGAAATTTTAGTAAATGAAACAATTAATGAAAGCAAATTTAAATTATTTTTTTTTACAAATAAAATTCAAAATGGCTTTGATAAGTATTTTTCATTTTTGTCGAATTAAATCTGATCAGACAGCATCGGTTATTTGAAATGAGAAGTCCGTGTTCGCCAATGTTGAATAGCTTTAATTTCAATACATATATACTATGCGCTCTGCTATTTATATTGTATGAGTACTATATACGCTTAGCAGAACACATCAAATACAACAACAGCTGGCAACACAATGCCACTAGCGGAGATGAGAGCAATTGCGTTTGTTGCGAAAGGCAAACAACATGGCTGACGTGAAAAAGGAACTCGCCGCTTTGAGCTCTGGTGGTGGCTCTCACAAAGATTTAACAGAAAAGTAAGAATGAAATAGTTTTGAAATGCTGCCATTAGTAAGCGTGAACATAGTGATCAGCCTTGTCAACAGCACACAAGAAGAAGGAGCTGTGGCGACGTGGCTAATCTTTGTAGACCCACGGCTGCTTCTTGACTGTCTGATAAATATAATTAATTATACATGTAGAGGCTTTCTGTTCTCTGGGCATTGCAGGTAGGCACCATTGAACTTCACAGCAATGAACCTTGATCTGAACAGACTAAGAAGTGTTTGGCAAAATCAACCTACGAACCAATGGCTAAAGCCACAATGCAATGAATCATTGGAACTATGAATATTCAGATTATTGGAACGCTTGATTCATTTGAACTTCAGTTTTAAGTCCCCATGCTCTTGCTTACTGCTGGCAAAATATCTGAAGTCGATGAAATTTATCTCTTTGTATCCTTGCACCATTATTCCCCAGCATCGGTACTCTCCCCCCGTCCCCCTAGCTGCACCTTTACTATACATGAACTTGCATTGTTTCTCCCCATTGATGAAAATGCGACATGTAAAACAATATTATTCATCCAAAAACCTTACCTTAAATATGTGGACCTGAGAGAGAGAATTTTTTTTGAATTGTCAATCAAAATTCATTGCTCAGGGAAGTGACATACAGTAGGTGCTGGGGAGTATCAATGCAGAGACTTAATGAGTTGACCATGTAGACTGTGAAGGCTCTCTTCCAGCCATTGTTCAATATTCAGTTGAGATAAAAGTGAAACTGTGATGCTCACATGAAGTTTTATTTAAAATGTAAGAAATGGATCAGGTTTAGATTTTATATTTGTATATATTTTGAAGCCATTAACGACCCCATTAACTTTTTAGGTACAGAGCAATATTTCTGAACATATGCAAATGCCAAGGATCAAGTCTGGTGGAGAATTTAAAACTGTTCACAGAGTCTAGTAAGTGTTTTTACAGAGTCTAGTAAGTGTTTCCTGCCTTTAATGATAAAACACATTCCATGAGAGGCTTAATTTCTGTTTCTTTATTTATGTACTTGTTGCAAACTGGAATTGAAATGAAATGAAATGAAATGTATGCCATATTAATGCAGCATTCAGTTCCTAGCTTCTACACTGTATAAGGTCAGTAGCATAAAAAGAATAAGCTGGAGAATGTTCAACCTTTACCATCATTGGTGAAGTCATTGATTTATTGTCTGGTTTAACATTTATGTATTTATTTGTTCCTTCCTAGTGCTCAATGAAAATGTAAGTCTTGTGATTTCGCGCCAAATCCTCACAGAGTTTTGCAATCATCTAACACAGCTGGACGAGGAAGTTGCCAAAGATGTGTGTCATTTCTTTCTTGAGAAGATTCAGCCAAGGGTGATTTCATTTGAAGAGCAGGTACATTTTTACTCATGCTTTTTAAAAATGTAAACTGTGTAGGTTTCTCAAATTTAACCATGATTCAAATTTAAATGGTAATTGATATGTATAGCAATCTAGAACTTACTTAAAGGGATATTGAAAAAGGCTTTTATCTTCCCATCATGTGAAAAAGGGGTTTTTCCTGTTTTTTAATCCTTTCTTCAGGCAGTGTCATCTCTCTTAAGCTGCACAAATTGTGAAGTAATTGTTCTTTTTCAGAAAATACATCTTGAACACACAATCTGAATTTTGTGGTCATTTTGACATTACAGTCTTAGTCCTCAACACAATACCAGCTTTGAAATATTTGATTTGATTTTCTAGGTTGCAGCCTTGAGGCAACATTTAGCAGGGATATATGAGAGAGAGCAGCGATGGCGAGAAGCAGCCAGTGTGTTGGTGGGAATCCCAATGGAAACTGGACAGAAGTGGGTGCTTTTTCATATTTGGAGTACAGGGGGTCTTGTTTATTATTGACAGACTATCCCCAAAAGTTTTTTTTTTATTGATTAATGTTTTAAAAAGTGAAAGTTTTTTGCAGACAACTGAATACAATATTTTTGATATTCTTCTTTTGATGCTTCTTGTTCTTTGAAGGGTTATTTTATTAGTAACTTGTTATAAAGCCTTGGGTGTTATTTGACTTGTTGGTCACTTTCAGCTAGTATTAGTGCTGCTTAAGGAGACTTGCATTTTACACTGATATTTAACAAGTTAAAATTAAGTTATTATATTAAAAAGAAAATTTCCCATGCAGATGTTTCAGCCAAATTGAAATTTGTTTCTTTGCCAAGTTCTGTCAGCTTTTTTTGTTTTAATGCTTTAGGCAGTACACAACAGACTATAAATTACAAACCTACCTGAAGATTGCGCAGCTCTACCTAGAGGATGATGATCCAGTGAATGCAGAGGCTTATATTAACAGGGCATCTTTACTGCAAGCTGATACTCAGAATGAGGAGTTACAGGTCTACTATAAGGTTAATTTGTGTTTTTATTTTAAGGAAGATGGATGAACTTGGCTTTGAAAAAGGAGTAGGATAGGTAATTTGTGATCATAAGTCACTTCAAGTGGAATATATTTGGGGTCCACTAGAAATGTTCTAGGTCCTGTTTCTCTGAAGAACTCGAGTGGAAAATATGTCTGTGCTAAGCAAAATAACAACCATAGCAAAGCTTCAAGTTGTTTTGTAAAGCAAGCCACTGGAACCTCTTATTCAAATTGTTGAGTAATTCTTTCTTGCAGGCCTGCTATGCTAGAGTACTTGATTACAGAAGGAAGTTCATTGAAGCAGCACAGAGATATAATGAGCTTTCTTATAGGAGTATTATTGCAGAAAAAGAACGGTTGGAGGCTTTGAAAAATGCTCTGATTTGCACGATATTGGCATCAGCAGGTATGGACTTTTTTTTTCTTTTTTTTTTAATTTATTGTTGGAAAATGGAGTCGAATGTTGGTACCAAGATGTATATTGCTCTACTATTTTTACATATGGAAGAGGTTGTAAAATTAAAGAATAAATAAATTTAATACGTCCCCGCAACTTGCAATCATTTTTATGTAGACACAGGATATAAAACTAGCAGAGTTTTATGAAGATATCCTACAAATCTCATTTTGCTTTTTAACAAGTAAAACCCTCTCTTCCTGATGTAGATCTTAATATATAGCGTGTAATATTAGGGTTCTTTCTAATTTATTACACTCACTGGTTTTTGTGCACTTGTGTTGGTCTTGGGAGTTTTTTCACTGAGATGTTTGCTGATGGGTCTTTTCTTCAGGACAACAGAGGTCAAGAATGCTAGCCACATTGTTTAAGGATGAAAGGTGCCAGCAGTTGCCAATATTTGGGATACTAGAAAAAATGTAAGAAATGATTCAATTTATGAATACATGCAAGGATTTTGCTATGTCCTTGTGATATTGTTTGTCCGTGAACACATTAGGATTTGAAGATAAGGTAAAATTTCATACTAGAATTGTATGAACAAATACTTTCATAACCTATTTATGCATAAATTGAGAAGTCACCGACTTCTTTGATATCACAGTATTTCTCACCAAGGTAACACTATTTCCAGGTATTTGGATCGGATAATCAGAAGTAGTAACCTACAAGAGTTTGCTGCATTGCTCCAGTCTCACCAGAAGGCCATTACTTCTGATGGTAAGTAGAGCTCACAAACAAAAACATATATATATTCTTTCCTCAAAGCCAGTACAGTGTTCTTGTTGTTGAATTAAGGCTAGAAATGGTGCTAACTTCTCACATCAACACGATTTGGCATGGTCACAGGTTTTAGTTCATCTAGCACCAAGAAAAAATAGGCTCTCGTGGGCCTGTAAGTGTATGTATTGTAAGTTTGTGCTATTTTCTATAGGTTCCACCATTCTAGACAGAGCAGTCATTGAACATAATCTCCTCTCAGCAAGTAAACTATATAATAACATATCATTTGAAGAACTTGGAGCATTGCTGGAAATACCTCCTACAAAGGTAACGGAATTTAATTTTTAAGAAGATTCTTTATGTATATTATAATAGATTTATTTTTGATAAATTTTTGAATGAAAATGCGCACATTTAAGGATGCTTGATGATGGTTTTATTGGGTTTCTACAAAAAATAATACAATCATGGGTATGGAATCTAATGTGACAAAACAATTCCTTGATATTATGTTGCAAGAAGCTTTTAAGATTGTCTGTGACACTTTGGCATATGAAACATGTACTCAGTTGCCTTCATTACCATGTCACTACATGGTAGCTGGGTGGTGCTCTGGAGTTAATGCATATTCAGCTGCCCTGTCAATACAGTGCATCTTGCACTTGAGGATCATAAGAGATGTTCACTTCATGACTGCTTTTACTGGTGATTAATCATGATTTTTTTCATATGTTCACCACATTCTTATATCTTTGAAGTATATTTTTATATGGGCTTTATACTTCATATTGCATTTCTTTGTTTCAGGCTGAAAGAATTGCCTCTCAGATGATCAGTGAAGGAAGGATGAATGGGTACATTGACCAGATAGATTCCATACTGCATTTTGAAGGTAACATATATTAGACAGGTTATCTTAAACATTAAGATGAACAGATAGTTTTACTTCACGGCTCCAGCCACATCTGTCCAACTTGTTCACATTGTATTGTTTTATTTAAACAGGGTTTAACCTTAAACTTGGAATGGATTTGTCAGCTTCACCTGCTTATTCCCCTCAAATGGTATACTTTGCATGCAGTCTATACACATTGGTCTGTTTGTTGTCTAGTCTTAAATATATGTTGAATTTAACTTTTCAACTTCCAGATCGGGAGACACTACCAATGTGGGACAAGCAGATTCAGAGTCTGTGTCTTCAGGTGAACAATATCATTGAGAAGATAGCCCAGCATGCACCCGAATGGCTGGCTAAAGCTAATGATGAACAAATGACATAATGAATTAATGTCATTGAAAAAACTAGATTTAAAACAAACGACGGTAGTCTGAAAATTTGTATGTGAAACTGTGGATGTGATTATCTGACATACATGTATGACATGATATGTAAGGCATGGGGTATACTGTGCCCTTTTTGGGCTTGAACATTTTAAATGTTCGATACCCTTAAGATAAAATGATTTTTTCTTAAGGATACTGTCAGTGTGTATAAATTTTATACTGTTAGAAAGGATATACATGTCTGTATGAAGTACTGGGGTATGTTTTTGTTATGCATGCATGCACCATTATACCCACCGTTTTTCAGGGGCAGAAATTTCCTCACATAGCTCAAGTGCATGATGCACAGTTCTGTTTCCTTTGCTATTCATGAGCCACATGTCAAAAAGATGAGCCAGTGAAAGATTGTGTTCAGTGTAATGTGTACTACTTGAGGATGGGTTTGTGCATAGATAACAGAACACACCCAAGCATTACAGATATGTGTGAATTGCCTTACCCATGATATCCTTTAAAAAATTTTGTAACCTTTTTAAAAGAAAAAAAAAATTTAAGACCATTACTGATGTGTAAAGACAGCATTACAGCCAGTGGGAATTGTAAAAAATAATAACAATGTACTTGCACATCTATATGAAGCTGCTGGATGTAATGAATGTATAGAACCTTGATGTAATGCTAATTTCTCATTTGTTGTCGTCTTGGGATTAAATGCGGAGTTGAAAGGATTATATCAAGGGTCTGGCTGTAATATGGGATGGATTTAAAAAAAAGCAAGCACACACAAAACAAGTTTGAGTCATTTATTTGCTAGAATTCAGAAAGTGAAACAGACAGTAGCATATATAACATGACATCAATGACATTTAAACATGGGACATTGTCATACACAGGGCTATATATATAGTATTGTACATGGATCTTTTTTGGATACTTGATTATTCTTAAATTGAATACATTTTAAATTCCAATGACTTTTCCCCAAAATAAGTTCTCTTTGATTGAAAACAAAAATAAGTTTCCATTCTTTTCAGAATAATAACCTGATCCAGACTTTGCATTTACCTCTTGCGTCATGTCAAACCCTGACATGTCAAAATTTTGATTTGTGCATTTTATGAAGAAAGTTGAAAATTTTTGGCCAAATTGACTGTAATTGGGAATCCACTTGAAGCCAAGTTTGCTCTTTGTACAAAAAATTTTGTGCTGAATTATACATAACTACTGTGAATTGCCTCATCCACTGGAACATAGCACAACTAATGGAAGATGCATTATTCTTGATCTCACAGGTACTAAAACTGAGTCTTTCTAGGTTTACAATGAAATTTGAGTGTTTGCTTCAAGCCCATTTCAGAAAGAGAGTTAATATTAATAGTAAAAGGGGTCCTTGATTTGATTAATTCCATCAGCTTCTTGGTGAAATTCACTTAGCACTGAGAAAACTTGTCAAATATTTACAAGAAACAATTCAAGTAGCCTAAATTAAGATCCTTACAACAGTGCAAGGCATTTGCCTGATTTAAAGAAAAAAAATTATGATATTTTCATATATTACAACCCATTCAATTCAAACTACAGGTTAAAGGAAGCACTACTCTTTTTTCATTGATACGTTTTCCTGTTATTTCAGTCAATTCACGAAAAGAACAAGCAGAAATCTCCCTTTGCCAGGTTAAAGTATGAAAAAGAAACCCTTCTCAATGAAACACTGATGTGTACTACGCAGTATAAAATTGACCAGACTTAGCCCTTCAGTAATGAAAGCCATAAACAGTTTTTGAAAGGAAGGTGTTCTTCACATAATTTTCCCCTCAATGACTTATTATCTAATTATTCCAATTTGCCTTTTAAAATGGGCTGCAGCCTAAATTTAAGATCTCTGCAAGGAGTGTAAGTTACCGTATTTTTTTTAATGCTTTAGGACACCTTGTTCCCTATTTTTAACGCAACTGCCTCCTGGGCATACTCTATTAATGTAATAACATGCCATAATTTTCAGAATTGCTAGTATCTTCCTGTGTTCTATGTTACATGACACTAAACTATAAGCAATTATCATTTTTTAGAGAGTAGAGAGGGGAGGATATTGAGATCTACTTAAGAAGACTGACATGTTGGGTAATTCTGATAAATCCTAGCTGGCTTCTATGTGACCTACAGGTGCTGTTTCCTGAAAAAATCATAATTGCATGCATAAAAAAGATCTTTGGAAATAACTTTATGGTAACTTTATAACTTGAATTGTATTTTTTACCTGGGCTGTTTCCTTTTGCTGACAGTTTGAAATTACTTTTAAGCAATTTTTACTTAACATATAACAGTAGTCAATACCTGAAAAAAAATACCTTGGTTCTTTGTAAATAATTAAGAAAAAAAAAATTCTAATGAGTGAAAATTTTTTCACTTAGTATGAATTTTCGGAAACATGCTTAAGTGAAAATGCAGAAATAGCAACTATGAAAATGGAGATATGATTGCTACTGAGTTTACTGTACCTTGTCATAGCGAAATATTTTAAAACGAAAATCTTTATAATACTGCACAACTGTGAACTTAATACTGAAACAATTTTGACACAGCAATGACAATAAAACGAAACAAGTTTTTACGGCTAAAACATACACTAAACAGGTACATAATTATAAAACAGTCTCTTTAGCATATTTTGGTGAAGCATGCATTATCACAGAATCCCAGTGCAATTCTGCTGATCCATCCCATATAAATGTATCAGTAATTGCAGGGCTCTCCTACTGATTTACACTATTCAAGAGCCATTTTCCACAGAGACAACAATGCAATATTTACAACAAAATCCTTCAAACAAACTATTTCCATCTAAATATAGTTAGTTTCAATGGATTATATTTTCCTATTATATTCACTAGAGGGAATATTATTTCCATTGGACTCCAGTGGATTCTGACAGAATTCTACAGAATATTCTAGCAATGGTTAGCTTATGTTTCTCATAAAGGCTTAAAATAAAAGAGACAATGTCACATCTTTTGAAACTAACTATTTTCTTAAATAAATGGTTTGACATATGGCCAAGGGGAAAATGTTTAGGGTCAATTGGCAGGTTTTCTGATACCCAGCTCAGGCCCTGCTTCAATACTAATAAGTACATAAAACATGATTCTTATTTAAAATATTTAACTGACAAAAATGTCATTACAAACACAACCCAAGCATATATAAAACCAATAAATAAGCATATTCTGCATAACAAAAATTATTAAAAATAATAATGTAACAAAAGTATTGGCACGTAGCCAACAATGTATTTTGAGTCAAAACTTATTTGACCAATGGAACATAAGAAGAATAATAAAGGTTAAATTTCAACAAAAGAAGCACAAGATGACAAAAGTTACGATGTCCTACTGGCTCCATTTTATCAGTTAAGTTGATCCATTACTTGGCCTAACTACAATTGTACGTGTTGTATTTATCTGATAATCAAGACATTGAAACATGACTAATACAAATAAAGTGCTGTCACATGCATCCCTTTCTTAAATCTGGCAATTGATTTGTCTATACAGTACATCACTTGAATGTGCCTGTAAACTTACCAAATTACTGTAATACATCTATGAGCTATCTGATTTGAAAACTACCTATTTACTTCTATCTAAGTGAAATAGATCCACACATTCACACACTTGGTATATGTGAAGTTATTTTAGCTGTACACATTCAAACACACACGCACACACAAACGAAAATGGAAACACTGTCAATAGACAAGTTGAACTTTTTGACTGAGAAAACAGTTTTTATAACTCACGTACATGTTCTTGGTTTTTTAACTTTAATAGAAATCACCCTACAAAGAGATAACATTGTTTAGACTTGTATTGCACAACAATGACTTTTTCTCCTTAACACACAGGTCACACTTATGCTACATGTTACTTTACACAAATACTTAAGTAAATGCTAATCTAAAGCTATTCTTGGTGGGCTTCTCTGTGAATTTAAATACACAATCCATTTCATGATCAAATTCATATTTTCACATTCTAATCTTCAGAGGAGTGACAGGAGTCCAAATCCTCTGGAGCTTGACTGGGTGATGCCTCATCTTCAATTTTAAGATCAATTTCAACCTTGTACTCATACTTTCCCACGTACTTCACCCATCTTTCTGGATTATTTGGGTTTCCAACAGATATTGACCGTACTTGTGTGCCAGAGATGGTTGTGTTGGGCATTGTGAATTCCACATCAACATACTGCTTGTAGCTGTCGGGTATTGGATCATGTGGACCAAGGTCTAGCTTCATGGTGAACAAGTGTGTCTTGTAGGCACCTACAAGTTAAAAGATGTACTTTACTAGTGAATCCAGGATTTTGATAAAGCGGAAAGGAAAGGTGCAAGGATAAAAAATGTGCCCAAACATTCTTATGTTACTCGCAACAGCAGATGAAGACAATTTTACTGTAATGTGTGGTACACAGGGATGGAAAAATTGCTTGGTTACAGTTTGTTTTGTTTGTTAACCTGTTTTCTTGGGAGGAAGTAGCTCTGAAGATTGGGGAGGGGGGCATAAGCACCCTGTGCCCACTAGATTTGTAAATGTCTTTAAATCTATGTGCTCTCAGGTAAGGTGTTCCGGCATAGGTCAATTACAAAACTTTGATAAAAAATGTAACCATATGACCAGAATGTTTGATTTAATTGTCTCCAGGTAATGCATATATCACTTGTAGCAAGGAAACATTAAATTGGCAAATTTCCAAAAAGTTTAATTTAACAGCCTATATCAATAGCAGCTAAGCATTATTGCATCAGAGCAAGGGTGTGCATATGCTCAATTCAGAGCAGTAATTTTAATGAAAATGGAGGAAGAATTGTAAATCTGGGATTGACGAGTAAAAAAAAAAAAAAAAATCCTATTACCCTGTATTTTAAACTTGGCCCATTCATAAACATATTGGAATTATCAGAAAAAAGTGTTACCTTCAGTTCTTCCTGGAAGCCTGTCTATCCGCCACACTATGGCTCCAAAGATGTGCTCATACTTTGCTGTTCCTGCAGATGCTTCCATGAGACTCTGTGGCAGAAACCCCTGAGCTAAAGCTGTGATCCTCTCAATACCTTTGATTTTACCTGGTTTACGTTTCACTGAATGCAAGGAGCCATATTTGAAAAGCCTCTCTTCTCTGAAGTAGTAAATCCAGGGCTCTGGGATGGGGAATCGGATCATGATGTTCTCACAGGGCACCTCTCCAGACCTAGCACTATCTGTGAAGTAACCTGGCACCATGACATCAGCTCGGATCTCCACATGTTTCTTGTTGACAGTCATTTGGGTCTGAACTTGAAGTGGCAGCTGGAGGTTCTGTTTGGGCTTGACCCGAAATCGCAGCAGTTCAAATTGTGTTCCATCAAGAGGATAAAATTTGATCAACCCAGTCTTTTCAAATTCCTTGAGGTCAACTAGGGAATGGAATTCATACTGTTGGATTGCTATCCATTCATCAGTTTTTATGGGAATAATGTCTTTACGGCCTACAACCTCTTTACCCTTACGTCGTTTGTCATTCAAACCAAGCTCACATGGGGGCATACCTGTCACGAAAGCCAGGACAAAAATTCTAGCTCGGGCTTTTTGTGACATAATGTGACCTTCCTTATCCACAATGGCCATATATTCATCCTGAGCAAGAACCTGAACCTCATCTTTGTTATAAATCTGTGTTTTTTCCCTATGAGCCTCTGTTCGTAACAAGGCATCCTCACAAGTCCACACAAAACTACGAATTTCATCATAATTCAAGCTTCCGAACTTCAGTAGCTCTGTTGCTACAGGTTGATGATCAAGTACCATAGTAGGCTTGGGCCTAAATCGCTCCAAGAAATTTGGGTATGTTAACTCTGTCATTAACTTCTCAGTCTTGATTCCAGGCCTCTCTTTGAAAGTTATCTGTTGCAGTTTGACAGTGTGTATTTTGCCATACTGATCATACTGCTGGAGGTTGATGCCACTGAAATCATATATTGGCAAAAGTGGAACTTCTTGAAATGCCCTGGCATCAGTTTTATCACTGTCATGAAGTCTTATGAGGGTTTTACCATCCTTTCCAGGTACAAGTTTCACCCACACATTTCTCCAGGACCTCTTTGTGGAGCCCGGTAGTTTTCCTGGAAGTCTATTTACCAAATTCTTGGTTTTTTTGCCTGGCTGCCTGAGAAGAAGTTTCCATACTTTTCCTTCTGCACTTGGGAAGTAGTCTTCAAGTGGTTCAAAATCAGTGTCGGCATCTGGTGACGGTGTTAATTCCTGAGAGCCATCTCTGCACTCAAATTTTTCCGTTTCATCTGCCACTTCATCTTCTGGGCTGGTCTTGTTGAAAGGATTAAAACGAGAAGAGGTGGCCTTGTCTTTATCTACTGGTGATGGAATGGTGGCAGAGGGAGAAAATGATGGATCTGATGCAGATGCTCCTTCATTTTCAGAAGAGAATGCTGCCTCTCCAAATAAATCCAAATTCCCATTTGCAGTTGAAGGATCATCTATTCCTTCAGTTGTCTTGAAGGGATCATCTACATGTTCCACGGGCATAACATCATCTGCGCAAGATTCTCCAAGAATATCCTTAAGGTCTCGTAGGCGAGGTGGTGCAACAACTCCTTCTATTTGTTTTTTGGTAGGACTAGGAGTAGAGAAAGGTGTGTTCTCTTCTACTTGAGTAAAAGGATCAAAATCGCATTTTTCCATTTTCTGCTGTTCCCCTACACCATCAATGATGTCATCACCTACAATGGTTGCAAATGGGTCAAAGCTGTTAACAGCACCTTGCTCATGCTGAATATCATGTCCAGTGGGCTCAATAGTTGAAAATGGGTCAAAACCGATGTCTGATGTTGTCACAACACCTTGGGCATTGCTAACTGTGTCAAAAAAGCCTGCAAACTGGTCCTCATCTCCAACAGCTGAATCTTCAGATTTGGAAGCAGACCTGAATGGATTATCTGATGAATAACCCCTAGTAGGTGTGGTAGAGGGGGATCCCCCACTTACTACATTCTCTGGGGTCATCAATGATTCAGTAGAAATTTCAGCATCCAAAATGCCATTTTGAGCCTTAGTAGGACTGCCTTGGTTCTGTGGTGGGGAAGAAATTCTATCAGAAGCTTTGATAGGAGCTGCCAAGATACATGCTGCAACAGATAAATCTACTTTGGCACGTAAAGCAGATTTTCCAGGCGACGGCCGAGGAATAGGTGACTTTGGTTCAGGCTTCAACCTCTCATTGCTTTCCATACCCACTAAACCAATTTGATCTGGAGATTCAAATGCATCCAAATTAGAAGTCTTTGTTGGTATATCAAATCCAAGGTCAAAAGGATCCTCATTAATTGGTTGCTGAGCCTCACTGACAGGAGCCTGATCAAAACCCAACTCATCAGGTATAGTAGGATGAGGTGGAGGTGGTTTATTTCTTTGAGCAAGTTCTTCTAGCATTTCCTCTGGTTTTTTCAAAGGCTTTTGGTGCAAAGCTGATTCATCAATGCCTAAGAAATCATCCACAATGCTGCTCAATCCTGCAGAAGTTTCCTGGTCAGCTAACATGTCATCATCCAGTTCAAAAGGGTCGCACTGAGTTTGGGTTGGCTGCACATCTGAATCAGGCAAACTTAATCCAAGTAGATCGTCAGTTGACTTTGCTTGTGCCTTGGAGGCTGGGAGAGAACTAAAAAGATCAGACTCTGTTTCAGTCCCATTTGAAGCAGGAGGGGCACATACTTGAAGTCTCAAGTCTAATTCTGGTTCATCCATATTGCTGTCGGTTAAACCCAGTAAACTAGAAGTTACTGTCTCAACTTTGGGTTCTGGTTTTAAAAAGTCTGGACTATCTGCTTTAGCAGCCAATTTTTCAATATTTTCCTGCGTTTTCTGTACACTTCGCTTGATTCTTTCTTGCATCTGTTGGAATGTTTGCCATTCTTCAGAATCTTCATCAATCCGTTCCTCGTAGGGTACAAATTCACCTGGACCTCTTGGTTTTGGACCATTTGCAATGATATCTGATAAATCATCTGCTCCTTTGGCAGCTTTCTTACTACTCTTATGTTTTTTTGGCATATCTTCAGCAAATGTCCTGGAATTTTCCACAAACTGATCCTGCAGTCCTGGAAGCTCACTGGACAAAGTGGATGGACTGTCTGTCAAACCATGATTTTCCAAATCACCTAGAAATGAAAGGAATGAAAGTGCTGTACATCTTTCTGCAATAAACGCACAACTTTTACTATTTTTTAATTTTTGGACAACAAAGTTTTAAGCTTGTAAAGTAAGTAGCATCACTATTACACAGTGTGGTCACAGGGTGTCATCAATATTTAATTACCTCAAGGAATCTCCATTAAACTAATGCTACTTGGAATTTCAGATTTTTTATGAATTTATTCGGCAACTCAACTGATAAAATGTTCACAGTTTAATGTCTACATTGAAAAAATTTAGCACTATTATTTACAATATATATAATGTTCTCTGATTTCTGAATGATCTCGAATTTACCGGTAGATCAGACCACACTACCCATTTTCATGGTGTGCGTCAGTATGCATTTCACAGTATCATACACCAGAACAAAATTTGAGATGAGATGCAATACTTTCCAACCCTGCTGAGAATCATCACTATCACATTGCATACTAGGCAAGAGCGGTGTTGCGTCTGATACTTCAAAGCATGTACTGATACACACTTTGAAAATGGGTATTGTGGTCCGATCTACTGGTGAATTCAGGATCATTTGGTACCAAGTCTGGTAGTTGGGTAGGCCTGTAGCTTGGAGTTCTATATGGGAGACGGTTTTAGTTACATACTAGGTGTTCTACAATTATTAAAAAATTTCCAAGCATTGCCAAGTAATCTCAAACTTGACACTGAATTTTTTCCAAATTAAAATCAAACAAAAGTTGTAATAAACGAAATCTGCTGAATTGGGAAACCTTTCAAACAAAGTAATGATTGCAATTTGTTCAATTAATAAGTTTGGAGCCTCAAAACTCTCATTAGAAGCCACTGCAGATATATGCATTCTAACCAAGGATGGAAAACAATTAATCACTGATAAATTAGATGAGATTACCCACTAAAATCAGCTATTATACTCTTAGTCTTTGTAGTCCCCAATAAATAAGGGACCATCTCAAAAGTTCTCCTGGTTTCTGCAATTTCAAGTTCATAGAGCAGTACATCACTCCTTTCAAAATTTCACCTCCAGAACAAAGTCATTATACTATCACACAGATCTATGAAACACTGATTCTCAATATATATAGGTCAATTGAATTTTTTGAAAATTTTTATTAAAAGTAAGCAGGCGGACGTATTGTTTGTCACAGTGGAAGTTAACTTACATCAGTCTTGCAACTTGAATCAGTGAAAATATAATTATTAGATATACTTGTTCTAACACAAAAGAATAAAGGGAGTAAATTTTAAACCATCATTACTGTCCCTTGCAGCACCTTAGTAAGTGGTAGACTATTAAATATCACTCAAGTGCTACTTTATTAATAAGCAGGAATTAAAACATCAGAAAAATGCAATAGATTATTACTTTTATGTTGTCTGGCATAACTAGATTAAATTTTGATAAGTGATAGAAGGAGAAGGCAATAAAGAAACTCTTGTTTGTTCACAATTACCAAGTTTTTATAAAGATCCCAATATAATGACTATCTATGAACTTACAACCCTCCCCCCCAAAAAAGTGTAGCCTTCCTATTTTCTGTAAAAATAATTATGTTACATTGTAAATGAAATCTTCCCATTGTTTTTTAATGATCCAATCTACTGTAAAATAAACACTTTTCTTCCAGACCTAAGTTATTTGCTCTAATTGATAAATTTAATGGTTCAGTGAATGATCACAATATTTGGTCACCCATTCTTCAACTTTTTCAGTTCAGTCAATAGTGATAACATTAGACATTTGTCTCTTTATGCGTATGTGTATTGGCTCATTGACTAGGAAAATATGGCCCTCAGCACAAACAAAACATTTTTGAGCCTACCAAATGATAATCATCCCAGTACAATTTTCCATTAATGTTAAGGGCTAAAAATGCAATTATTATTTAATAACTTGGGTTCCCTCAGGCTAATGATGCCACACTAGAACTGCACACACTTTGACATTTGATGCCTGGGCTCCCAGACTTGTATTAAGTTCAGTCCAACAAATGACTTCAGCAAATTCTACGTTTTTATCTTCATGAGAAAGAGCTTTAATTTAAGAAAGTCATTATCTGGAGATTAAAAGTCTATCGGGTGGTTTCACATCTACAGGCCTAGGTTTTGGGGGCAAACATACAATTAAATAAACTATGGTGAGTCATTGCAACTGATGGGTATAGGTGGGGTTTTGATACATGTATGCAGGTCTTCAGAATATGAGACAGGCTTCTCGATATCTGACATCCAAGTCTTTGCTTTATGACATGGATCTTTAATCATTATATAGATATCATGCATATAATTTGTCTGGATAAAGCAAAAGACATAATGTGAAATATGTGCTAGTTTTGGTCTTAAAAGCATACTCATTACTTACTGCTTCTGCTACCAACTAAAGAAAACCCTTTAATTTTTTTTATTTTATTCATTATTATTATTTTTTTTGTCAATCACCATTTTGGATGAATAATTGGACTACTTCAAAAAAATCTAAAAGGGTTGAATTGATGATCACTTAAAAAAAAAAAAAAACCTGCCAATAATTACCATACCAGTAGCAGCTAAATAAGAAGCAATATGAGGTCATATTAAATATGATCTATGACCTGATCTATGACTTTTTTTTTGTACTGCAAATGGGAAACTTGATTTTCAATCTAAAACTTCAATAACACTGACATTGTAAAATTCAGTCAAATTTTGGTTTTGATTAGAACATTTACTTTGGGTCCCTCGGTGCATTTTCAGTGGCTGTAGGTAGCTGCTACTCTATACTTTGCTTTAACCATTTGCCTTCTTATTTAATAAATACATTTGCACAATGTACATCTGTACTAATATACATGCAGTCATGTATAAATATAAGCAATATATATATATATATATATATATATATATATATATATATATATATATATATATAACTAGCTAGAGAAAAATGGATATAGTTACCAGTATTTCCATGACCTTCAGAAATTATACTTCGGTATAATTAACACAATGTTCTATGCAAACACCCACTGCTATTTTATCTACATACAGCAACATCATGGTCAGTTATATAGTAAAAAGTCACACTCTTTATCAAATACACAGTACAATATTTGCAGAGGTTACGAAATACTCACTTCAACATGATGCCTGTGCCTGTATGAAACAGTCCCTGTTCTATAACCACATCTAAAACTGCATTGCCTGTCAGCCTGACTCTCCTATCATTATGTTCACTGCTTCTATATGTCTGTCTCCTTCTGATATTATTTGCTGCTATCGATCCCCAACCATTTGCAATCTGTTGTTGCCCACGAATAATCAATGCCCCATATGGACAACCTCTAACAACCTAAAATTTGATCAATTTCTATGGAGACAATAGTGTGTTTCTATTCAAGCTTTTATACAAACCTGTCTTTATAAGCCTTGGTGTTTATGCTGCATAGGTATTGATCCTTGGGTAACTTTCATTTGCTGAAAGAAAATCAATCATCCTCTCTGGTAATTCCCAGCAGAAATCTTACACATTACACCCAATAGAGATTATGGGGAGAAATCCAAATATGCAGAAAAGAGAACCTTCAGCATCTCCTTTAGTCAGGTGAAGGATCCTTTTCTTTAGCTTATCATCATGACTGATATAATTGGAATCTAAATTTATCTTTTCTTGGAGAACAATTAGCTACTGCAGGAATTCCCTCAATTATTGTCACTCTAATACTTAATAAAAAAATAATTCAATTAAGATAGATGATGCCTTTTGTTTTTATAAAAGAAATCAAACTCCTTCAAAGCAATTTAATATAAAATGTAGATGGTAAATCCAATAATATCATTATGCCTTAGAGGACTCAAAGTTAGCAAATTTCATACAATAGTTGAAGTTGTAGCCTAATGTATACGTCTGCTCATAAAGCAGGTCAATACTATTCCATTTCAGAAATTATGTTTAAGAAAGCCCTAAGGATATTAAATATTAAATCGTTAGGTCTACCATGCATGCATTTGGACTCTGACAGAGGGGTAGTCTTGGTACATTATTGGACTACATATGCCTTAAAGGCGCACAACCAGGCTGATACACTGAACACTGAAGGCTCAGCTTTAATACTATGGGGATCTCAAATTTATTCCTCCAGGGTGTCGAGATTTTCCATTATGTGCTGCATTTTTATGACCTGTGCCCCATACCTGGCAATTTCAAAATTAGATTTTAGTAAAAAAAAAGTAAACCTTTTTACTTCCTTAGCTGCCACAACTTGAGAAACCATTTCAACCAAAAGAATATTACTTTTGAGTTTTATAAAATAATGGTAGATGACCTGAGATACACCATAATTTGAAAGAAAAATCAGATTCTGAAACAAATAAAAAAAAAAAAAAAAAATCAAAATTGGTGGAGTATTTCTAAACCAATATTAGCAAATCAGCTACATACAGAACAAAAGTGGAGTCTCGCCTGTAAGTGCATATAACAATTCAAAACTCCCATATTCATGTGACATTTTAAAATCCAAAAATAAAACCAGCAATAACAATCAATACATCATATTTTCAGTTTCTGCATGGGCTTCAGACATTTCAAGGACTTTGCCAAAATTTTGCATGATTTTCAGCCTGTGAATTTACACTGGTTGTACAGTGGTCTTTTTAAGAACCTGAATTGGCAGAAACTCATGAGATTGTCCCTTAAAAGCTTAGTACCCAGGGAAAATTCAATAACGACTTACAGGCCAACTATTTTAAGAACATCACAAGACCAACCACTTAACACATCTGCCGACCTCAAGTAACTACTCAGGCAGTTCCGTTAGTTGAACATTTTTCAAAAAGCACAACATGACTGAAAGACTCCTAACTTAGGCAATTTGCCAACTTCCAACAAAATGATCAATTTTTCTTTAGATTTTAATATTGACCAAAATGAAAATTATGACCCCAAATCAGGAAAGGTAATTTTCGGTTATTACCATTATTTGCAATAATTATTTTCGACAATCTGGCATTACCCAAGGCCCTAGACCTGCACAAAGCACACATTAGGTTTAATTTTCTCTATTTTGTGGTTTAATGGCTTTATATTTGCATTTTTGCTGAAAATCTTTATGGTGCTTTTTTTTGTGTATGTTCTCTACTACACAGTATTTCATATTTATATATCTATTTGCATTGTGTGCAACTGTCAAACAAATAAAAACTTTTAAGGTAAACCATCATTGCTTAATGCTAGGTTATGACAAAAAATATGAGAGTTGGTAAATAAAAAACTGAATTTAACCAAATAAAAAAAAAAAAAAAAAAAAAAAAAAAAAAAGCCCTTGCTACCTACTTCCCATCAATAATCTCTTTTTGTGTAATACTTGGATGAGACTGCAACATAGTGAAAAATATGGAGTGGCATCAAGAGGGTACCTAGGCCAATGATATTTTTTGCTCCCAAGAAGTCGGAAATCCAACAATAGTCAGAAAAATCTCATACCTGGTAACATTTACTTATTGTGTTATGTAAACCTGTTTAGTAGAATGTATTTGAAATAATACCGTAAAGTTTCCTTTTCTCATTGGAATTTAAGGAAATCTACCCCTTTTTTTGATATCAGAATTATTATAGTGATATAGTTTCTCAGATGTTATACCATGGCTGTCAGCAAGGCCTTGCACACTTCCCCATAAAATATAAGCTGCCAATTTGAAGATTATGGCAATTGGAACCATACTATTACATGTCTTCCTGATTTATCACACAAACAACAAGAATGAATTTTTGTCCCTACTGGTTTTAGAAAGACAGATAAAGCTTTCAGACTGAATATGACTGGGGTTTAATTAATTGCTTTTCTTTTTTCAAATTTCCTCTCAAACCAGCAGACCTCATCTTTGCAACAAACAGATGCTTGTGTTCAGTAAACCTCACATGGCATGATCAAATGAAAATACCTCTAGCTTAATTTCTATGTAAAATCTAATAAAAACCATGCATTCATCATTCAGAACCTGAAGTCCACCAAGTCTTTAAGGCACTTTTCATTCTCACTGCCATCTTGAATAGCAAAGCAAAACTAATCCTGAAAGCATCATTGGTCACAGGACTCATATCAATCTTTGTGCAAATTAGTATCTCTTTAATTCTATATTATTTCCACCAGTGGAATATCTTCCAATTATGAAGTTAAAATCCGGGGCACAGGAATCTAGTTAAGTTGAAGATAGTTACCTTAATGTTTTGATAGAAATATGACAGAATTTGGTCTAAAATTGGCAGGTTCTTGGGAAGAACTGCTGTTTTATTCATTTCAATCTTGTTCACAAAGTTTAAGACGGCTGGCAATAGCCTGTTATTTTACCATTCTAATTATTATTTTTTAAAACACTTACTCTGTTATGTTAACATCTTCAATCACATTCCTTGACTTAAAATTTGCCATTTTTTAAGACAATTAAACAGTCTGCTGCTAGGCATCAGATTTAGTCTTAATGTGTCTTGCATACTAGTACAAGGTCCCTTTATTGATGTAATAGTTATCACAATAATCATGTCTCCAGCAGGTATTTTGATTTGACTAAAAAGAAAGGGTACATCGACACAACATGTTTTAAGTATTATTACACTGATGACAGGTCACCTTTCTTGGTAAAACTTGCAGATCATCTATTTAATTGTACACAAAGGAGGATTTTTCCACCAAATTCATTTTAAACGAATTATCCAGAGGTAAACAGCATTTCCCCCCCCAATTAACCAACCTTTAATTTTTCCTTTCCTGACACTCGCCATAACCCTGTAACATTTTTGGTAAAAGCTCTCTTCTTAAACTGCGTCAAAGTGACTGAGTATCTGGGTTGGACAGGGGACAGTGAACATGATTATTTTTTGTGATATTGATCAACTTAGGCAATTTATCTGTTATTTTATGTTTTAAAAGTTTTAATTGTCCACAGTTAATTTCAACAAGAAGCAATCCATGCACTTGGAATGTGTTTTAAATCACACTTTGTGTGCCTTTAAGTTAATGTCACACAATGGGCATTTAATATACATTATATATATTTTTTTCCTGGACATTTCAACACTCTTCTCCACGGTACATTATCCAAAACTGTTGACAAAATAATGATCTGTAAGACCACTACTGCAGCACTTTTGTTAAGGAGATGGGGACTAGTGAATTTCACTTGTGACTGATTTGAAATAAGAAAATTCAAGAAGCTTAAAAAAAGAGAGACATATGCTTACATCTTTGTTTTTTATTCTTTTTTTTTTAACTATTCATTTTGCTTTATAAATGTTTATGTGTATTACATTTGTCTTTAATTTAATAAGCCTCAGGCAGTAAAAGTAAGCCATCTCTGGCTGACAGATTTGCATGTCTGAACAGAAATAATTTCAGCTAAAGCCCTAAATCAAAAGAATATCAAGGAATTAAAAGAAAATTGTCTCTTTTTAACATCACTCATAGGTAAGCACATAAACTTGGTCTCGCAATCTAATGCAAATGCACTGACAAAGTTGAAGATGACTTTGCAATCTAATCAAATGCACTGACAAACTGACAACCTTTAAGATCAACTTTTGTAACATGCAATCATCTGCCATAATTTGGAAGTAAAATCCTGACAGCAGATTTCCTTATTGGCCAATTGCCCAATGCTAATGCATTTCTGTTCTGACAAAAGCTTTCAAATTGACAGTCCCACTTGTCTAGTATTACTTAGTACTTTTTCTTTTACAATATTTAAAGAATCGATTTACGTCAGCCCTTCCATTTTCCTTTTGGCAAGAAATAGTATTGGAAAAAATTGATCTGCATCCTGAAATTGGATCCAATGCAGTAATAAGGTTTTAACCACGGGTTTGTCAGTTATCTTGCAAATTAAGAATACTTCCTGTTTCTACTAGTAGCTGGTATATTAACATGTGTAGGAAGGTGCCCGCAAAAAAAAAAAAAAAAAAAAAAAAAATGTCACAGTGACAATAAATATATAGTACTATAAATAAGGTTTAAAAAAATCATATAATAATAATAATAATAATAATAATAATAATAATAATAATAATAAAATAATAATAATAATAATAAAATGATGTCTATGAAATGGAAGCTGGTGAATTTCTCAAGTAAAGTAACAAGGAATATTACTGGCCATTAAAATCAATACATATAACTAAGTTCAATAAACCTACAGCATTGGTGTATTACCTTGTTGAGTGCCAGCAGTATTTTGGCTCATAAATGGATCCAGGGCATCATTATAACCTGATATTTGCTTCTCTGTAAGCTTTGCTTCAAAGGATGGGGTGCTCAGAAGAAAATGTTTCTTTTGACTTCTGCTTTTCAAATCTGACTTTTCTTCAAACACTTCCCAGCCAGAAGAAACAGGAGAGACTACTTGTGCTGTAGGACCAATTACATCAGGGTTATTCTGTTGTTTGCTTTCTTCCAAAGAGGCAGCTGACTGTGGGTGTTTTGAATGATTCTCTTGCAAAGCTGATGATTGTTCTGCTTTGAGTTCATTAAGAGTCTTGGGTACCAGCATTTTCTTTTGTGAATCCCTTCCATTTTTAATCAATTGATTTACTATGACTGCTGATTTACTATGGCTAAACAAATTGGCTTCGTTAAAATTAAACCAAGTTTTTTCGGTAGCAACTTTGGGTTTTCTTGAGATTTTCTCTTTGGTTTCAAACTCTTCTCCTGGTAAAGTTATATTTAGTTTGCTCAATCCAGGAGATTTCTCAGGAGATTCAGAGCAAACATATTCATCCAAGGTAACCAGGTTAATTGGTGTTCGGCTTCTTGGGCGCTCAATAGGTTTGGTGTTTACTTTCAACTGACTTGTATATAATTTTGCCTGCGGTTCTTTGGTTTTCACCGTCACAGACTCCTCTCTGTATGTATCTGCTACAGCATGAGATTCTGATGAGGTATCATCCACATCAGGGCATTCATCACTTATAAGCTTCTGATCCTCTTTACTAAGTCTAGTTTGTACTTTCTCCTTGGCCCCTTCTTGTACATCACCTTCTTCATCTGACACGTGTATTTTCACTCCGTCATTTCCACTACAAGTTGACTCACAAACTGAAGATTCTGTCTCGGTTTTTTCGTCAGCATTGTTGTAGTTGTTATGATCTCCTTGAAGCACTGAATACGCACCTTCTGCCTCGTTTGGTGTATCGATGCTGTCGTCGAGATACGAGTAGCTAGGGTCTGTGTCCAGTTCGTGCAAACTGTCGTCCGTTGCAAGCGGTGCTCGACCCTCAGATTGAGACATACCGCACCACAAGAGGAAAGTATTGTCCCGAAGTATTATATTCAATAGAAACAAAGCCGCTAATGGACTCTCTCTTATCAAACTTCAAAAGTACAGGTGCTCGCAGGATGGATTTTGAGCTTTTGCCTCTCACCGGTTCCAATCGACAAATTATTTGTCATCAATATTATTGACAATCGCCTTCAGATGAACTCGGGAATCATTTGCTGGCCACCATAGCGTACGGCGTACTTTCTTTGAGCTCCAAACGGTAAATAAGCAGACATATACACTGGAAAGACAATAATTGGCAAAATTTATCGATTAACCAAGAGCACAGGATCAATTTTGCATTTTGCCTCCTTGTTATTGTCGGAAGTGACGTATTTGGCCTCGATTTAGATTACGCACTTGCCAACGCAAAAATGGCGGTGTAAACACTTTTTGAGGGTGTGCGCTTGAAATGATAGCAGAAGTTTCTTTCCTTGAGCGGTCTTTAATGGAGGTAAAAGTCTGTTCCTTTAATTCATGTAGGGTGAAGTTGGTGTTGTGTAAGGGAAATAGTTTTTTGTCTTTGGTTATTGATACAGGTAAGGTATAAAGAAGGACTAGACTTGTACTGTTCTTGTACTTGTGGTACATGTAGTCTGATAAGTACATTTTAAATGAGAGTGTTAATATATGCTTTAGTAACGCATGTATTTCAATGTTATACTACTAAATATATGAAAGTGTCATTTTGAGTCATTATTCAGGTATACCAATCCTCCAGTATAAGTTGTAAAAAATAATGATAAAATGCTAGGTGTTTGTATTATATTTATCAATAAATTTTATATTTTTTCCTCTTCAAATTCTCTGTATCTGACAGTTTTTTTTTTTTAGATTTGTATTTTGTCTTTACATAAACCAACTTTATTGTAATGTAACACTTATGAAACAGTGACCTATTTAAATAAGCCTTTCTAGCATCTTATGAGAGTGTCTATTTAATTTTCAGATCCTGGGATTTCACTCAATTTTCTTATTCAGGATGAATGAAAAGATGTCGTAGTCCAGGTCATGTGTCACAGTTGCTGTCAGAATGTCTGTACAACCGAAAAGTGGAGCATTAGTGGCCAAGAATAAAAATGGAAAACAGGATGGCTCGGTCAAAAAAGGCAAAAATTCAGTTAAAGTACTCTTACAAGAGAATAAGACTCTGCAGGAGGAAAAGGATGCAATTACAAAAGAACTTGATGACTTAAAGACTAAATTTTCTGTACTTGGTAAAAAGATCTTAGATCATGCAGACAAGGCTGAGTATGGTTTGGAGGATGATCTAGACCCTTTACAGGTGAATTTAGATGATCTCCTTGGTATGCTCTCCAAAGTCATATCCAGAGACAAAAAGAAAAACAGAATGGAGACACGTATAGAGGAGTTGGAAACCAGAGTTACACAACTGACAGTAGAACAAGCTGAACTGCTCAGGGTCAGGGCCAAGTATGAAGAAGGGTTGAGTGAAATATGCCAGTGTTATGACATGCCTGCTGTTAAAGTTCTGGTAGAAAAGATAAGAGTTGAAGCAGGTTTGTTGACTGACAATTGAAATAAGCTTTGTGTATTTCTTCGGTGGATCCAGGATTATACTGGGAGGGGGGGGGGGGCAAAAAAATAAAAAGATATTCCCTCACTTCATTCAGCAATGGTAAAACACAAGACAAGGACATTAATTACAAAATGTAGGGGTATGGATTGAAAAATTGCATAGTTTTGTTTTAATTTTTTTTTTTTTTTTGGGGGGGGGGGAGGGAGAGAAGAGCACCTACATCTACATGTATCTACCATGACTCCCCATCCCCTGGATCTGCTCTTTTTTTTTTTTTTAAATTTACACCATATATTTGTTATATCAGTAGGAAACAACTTATAAATATTGATTTACTAAATTTATTATCTGTTGTGAGGGCTACATATTACCTAGGAGTTATTTCACCTAATTATATGTAAATGAATCCTTTATCTTGTAGAGTTACCATACGAATATGTATATATGCTTATGGATTTTATACTTAACAGAATATAGCAAGGAAATCAGTCCCTAATCTGTGGTAAATAAGGCTTGATCAATTATAGGTTCAGCTTTTTATTCTTCAGATATCCCTCCACACTTCCTTGAATATCCTCATGGGTATTGTACATCAACTGGTCCCTTGAAGCATCCACCACCACATATTGTTCCTGCTAATGTACTCAACACACCAAAGGTATGCACTGATACAGAGTGGCTAGGCACTTTTGACGTGCAACTTAGCCCTCGTGATTTTTGGGCCAGTTGTTGTATTATCACAGACATTGACGTCTAAGATATTTCTTATTTGATAAGATATAAGATATTTTTTATTTGAATATTTTATTTAACTGGTTCATTAATGCTTGACATGTTCAACTTTGTTTATCTATTTTCTAAGTAATCATTTCAGAGTTATTTTCTTTTTTTTTTCATAGACAAAGCAGATTTTTTGTTCATTCTTAAAAAAATAAGTGGAATATTTGCTTTATGCAAAATGTCTATGATAAGCTTTTCATCAGTAAACTCACATAACTGTGCATACTATTTAGGTCAGCAAGTAAGCAATTAAGACAACTTATTAATTTGCTGTTTCTCTGGAAATGCCCGCATGTGGTATTATCTCATTAAAATGTACAACATTGCTGGTGGTACATACCTAAGAGGTAGTCATGCCTCTGTGATCTTCTAGTATTTATTGATTGTTGCATGGAAAAAATCAGATGGATTGGTGTCTTTATTTTATATAGCCTCGTCAACGTCTACCAGGTGACACTCACATCAGAAACATGCTGAAAGAGCTCAAGGTTTTTATAATTAAGGAACTGAACATGGAAAAGCCATCACGTAAGTCCATAAATCCAAGAACTGCATCAGGAAATTACATTTTACTTAACTAAGACAGAATTTGCTTTTATCATCTAAATTTTGCCATGAATAAAAATATGATTTAATCAATAAAAAAAAAATCTAATTTGGTGTTGATATTCTGTTAAAATTGTTTAATCTTTGATTTTGACCCACAGTAACATACCAGTATGCTATACTGAATTACACATGCAGTCTTCTCCCTTTCTTATCTTTTCTTTACATTTTGTAACTTTATAGGAGCTGATTGGAGAACCCTTGCACTCAGAGTTGGTATTCCAGAAAGCATTATTGAGAAATGGAGATATGATCAGCTGGATTCGCCATGCAGCCACGTCCTTGCGAAGTGGAGCGAGAGTTGTGCAGCAACAGTGAGAATGCTTCATCGCCACCTCTTGTCACCTCAGTTGCGATCTATCATCCTAGTAAGGAGGATTGAAGATTTTTATGATGTTGAATGAATTGATGAAATTAAAGATTTGACACAGACTTTAGGGTATTAGGACACTTAGTTAGAGCACAGGAGCATTGAGACAGGAAAAGCTCCTAAACTTAATTTATTTTTTTGTACGTCTAGGGGATCTCATTTTAGACTGTGATACTGAGGGCTAAAAACCGCCCAGGGTATTCAACTGGTTGAATAGAGATAATGTTAGGAAATAATTAATCTTATATAAGGAACTTAGACCTATGTTTGTTACACATTACAACTTTTGGAAAAACATATGGCCTTTCAGATGCTGTTCTCAGTAATTATGTGGCAGATTTGTAGAAAAATGTGTAGGTTATCGTGCATGTGATTTAAACTAAACATTTTCAGCAAACAGTTCTTCCAAGACAGAATCCATTTTTTAATTATTATTCTCGTATAATTATACTAGAACTTAAATTATCATACTTATTTTACATACAAAACAATTTTTATAAATTCCAGGTCAAAATTTTTTAAGGTTTAAAATGTGTCTCTGTAAATGTTTTCTGTGAAAGGGGAAAACTCCTTTAAATCAATTTGATAGATAATACAATGAATTTTTGTTGATTATAATCTGAATCTCATTTTTGCATTGGATTCAGATATATGTAGTCAACCAACCAAAATACAAAAAATATAAAGAGATATGACAGAAAATCTGAAAATTTTTCATGTTATGAAGATATTAGAAAACATGAAAAAATTAATTAAAATAATGTTTACTGTGTGTACAAAATGTGCCCTTTGTCACAATTAATGAAGTTGGTGAACCAGTTCACTTCACACGGGTGAATGCACTCATCATTACCAATCCCCAGTGTTCTTTTACAGTGAAACACCTGTGATTATTTTACAAATCACATGCATACAATCAAAGATGCAGATTATATGTGCACAAAGCATGTACATGTATGTGCAATAAGTGTGTCATCTTCTAAAAATAATTCAATGAAGATGTTTCAACAGTATTCGTTATTTGCTTCACATTTCACAATTTTTTTCTGTAATCTGAATCCTGTATTCCATGAATCACCATTATTTGTGCAATGTCTATAGAGAAGACCAATAACATACAGTTCCCTTGTGTTTTTATGTTACGTTTTAATGCAAAATGTACAGAGAGCTTATCAAAGTGTTTACTGTAATGTTGAATTAGTTTGCAAAATCAAAATGCAGTTGGGTCTTTATGTACTTTTCATCACTTATTGTTTCTGTACTTCTTGTCTGTAACACAAACCTACACTGTACTTTGTTCCCATACTTAAAATAAAGCAATGGAATGTGAAAGATTGTTCAATCAGTTGTACTTATTTAATTTTATTCATGCCAGAAATGGACAAACGGCATCAATGACAAAGAAACCTGTAAAGAATGACTTTTGAAAGGGAATTAACTATACCACACCATAGGACTTATCATGCCCTCTTTGTCTCAGACTTCACTGTTGAGAAGTAAATTGTTACAGAAGAGAGCAGACCTTACTCTGTGTTATTAAATTTACAAGTATAGTATGGGCCAGATGCAACAGGTGACTGCAAAATCATGTCCAAACAGCTGCATCTAAATCAGATTTGAAGGTAGTGAACAATTTTTATCTTGCTTTTATCTTTCAGCTGTGCACCATTTTAATACAGTCTTCAACTTTTTCACTTTTCTCCACTTTTAAAAGCTATTTTTAAAATAACTGCTGTCCTCTGACAGTGATTCCCAGTATTGTTTGTTTTTAATTATTTTCCTCTATCAAGGAAGTTGTTTTCACTTCCATTTGTCTGTCTGTTTGTTCATCACCAGCTTAACTCAAAAATAATAGATGGATTTTAATGAAATTTTCAGGATAAGTCAGAAATGAGCTAACTTAAAAGTCATTATAGTTTGGAAGTAATCCATCGATTAATTAGTGGTTAATTATTTGTTTATTAGCTGCCTTGGCAGAGGGTTGGCCTCTCCTAGTACTTTTCTAGTTATTGGTTAAATAAATCTTTGTCTCAAAATGATTTTTATAAAAACTGCATAATACAATAAGTAACACCAGGAATTTAAGATACCCTTTATTATGTTAAAAGCACAATATTTGGGGTACAACAAATTTTATAAAGGAGTAGTAATTGATATTCTTAAACATAAATTTGAAATCTAAACTGGCTAGGAAAAGCTGCTACAAGCAGCAGCATAATTAATATAGGGTATACCAATGGTGTATCCACAAAAATAATGCAACACACAATGAGGGTCTTCTGCATACACAAGGTTGAGTTTCACATGATGTATGCAAACAAGTTGATGCATTGTTAATAATTTTAAATCGGTAATCTTGTTTTGAAAGTCTGTTTTTCAGAGGAAGGCAATACGCTTGGAATAAGAGAAAACTTCAAGTTTCACTAATTGTTAAAATGCACAAAATAAATCTATGTAGCCATATGTAGTCAAAGCAGTAAACATTCTTTACAAACTACAGTTGAATCATAACTTTCCATGTAAAAACTAGAGGCACCACATATAAAAATACCACTTTATAAAAATTATGCAAAAATGATACAAGAGAAAAAATTACCTTCACTGACCAGATTACAATACCTTGAACTATCAATTCAAACATGACAGCTATTTTGAATCATACCAATCTAATTTAATCATATTAAGGTTAAAAACAGGTTCAAGCGGGGGGAAATGTGAAAGTGAAAATGTATGAAAAAATCTTTCAAAATGTAACAAAACTCAAACAGTGGAAGGTTGGCTGTATGTATTTATCAGTAGTTATATACATTAAAACAAGTGAAATACTGTTAATACCCAAATTTCCCAGGAAAATAACTTGAGAAAAATTAATGAGCACTGTTCAAATTTAAAAAAAAAAGCACATGATACAAAAATGTTCACAATATCCCTGAAGTACACTGTAATCAAGTGTGTAAGGCTACGTTCACATGCAATGTCTATTTTCTAAATTCTATTTTCGGTATGTCTTATGATCACGGTCTGTGGCCTGAATATCCCGCGGCGTAATTACTGGCAGCGCGAGCCACTTACTATAAGTTACTATAAGTAACTGGCTCGCGCTGCCAGTAATTACGCGGCGAGATATTCAGGACACAGCCCGTGATCATAAGACAGCGCAAATAGAAAATAGAAATTAGAAAATAGACATTGCATGTGAACAAAGCCTTAGACTAGCCAATCAGACAGGGGTGGCTAACCTCCTGTAGTCTGCACCCCCAGTAGCATATTCAAAAGAAACAATAACACTGAAACAGTTTCAGTTGTTTCTTTCACTATTAAAGGAACAAGGAAAAATAAGCCCTCATATATTAAGACATTGCTCACTTGAACAAAAAAAAAAAAAAAGCGTATCAAAATTTTTAGGAAACATTCTTTATTGTACAAAGGCCTTTTCCAAAATTTTGTTTGTTCTGCACACCCATTTGAGTGTGTGTGAAGTCAGCAACAAGTTTGAAAGCACTCCATGTTTAAAACCACTGGGTGGCACTATGCAGTGATGCATCATGGAGGNCATTTTAGTCTGTGATACTGAGGGTGAAAATCCGCCCAGGGTACTCAACTGGTTGAATAGAGATAATGTTAGGAAATAATTAATCTTATATAAGGAACTTAGACCTGTGTTTGTTACACATTACAACTTTTGGAAAAACATATGGCCTTTCATATGCTGTTTTCAGTAATTATGTGGCAGATTTGTAGAAAAATGTGTAGGTTATCGTGCATGTGATTTAAACTAAACATTTTCAGCAAACAGTTCTTCCAAGACGGAATCCATTTTTTAATTATTATTCTCATATAATTATACTAGAACTTAAATTATCATACTTATTTTACATACAAAACAATTTTTATAAATTCCAGGTCAAAATTTTATAAGGTTTAAAATGAGTCTCTGTAAATGCTTTCTGTGAAAGGGGAAAACTCCTTTAAATCAATTTGATAGATAATACAATGAAGTTTTGTTGATTATAATCTGAATCTCATTTTTGCACTGGATTCAGATATATGTAGTCAACCAACCAAAATACAAAAAATATAAAGAGATATGACAGAAAATCTGAAAATTTTTCATGTTATGAAGATATTAGAAAACATGAAAAAATTAACAAAAAAAATGTTTACTGTATGTACAAAATATGCCCTTTGTCACAATTAATGAAGTTGGTGAACCAGTTCACTTCACACGGGTGAGTGCACTCATCATAACCAATCCCCAGTGTTCTTTTACAGTGAAACACCTGTGATTATTTTACAAATCACATGCATACAATCAAAGATGCAGATTATATGTGCACAAATCATGTACATGTATGTGCAATAAGTGTGTCATCTTCTAAAAGTAATTCAATGAAGATGTTTCAACAGTATTCGTTATTTGCGTCACATTTCACAATTTTTTTCTGTAATCTGAATCCTGTATTCCATGAATCACCATTATTTGTGCAATGTCTATAGAGAAGACCAATAACATACAGTTCCCTTGTGTTTTTATGTTACATTTTAATGCAAAATGTACAGAGAGCTTATCAAAGTGTTTACTGTAATGTTGAATTAGTTTGCAAAATCAAAATGCAGTTGGGTCTTTATGTACTTTTCATCACTTATTGTTTCTGTACTTCTTGCCTGTAACACAAACCTACACTGTACTTTGTTCCCATACTTCTAATAAAGCAATGGAATGTGAAAGATTGTTCAATCAGTTGTACCTATTTAATTTAATGACAAAGAAACCTGTAAAGAATGACTTTTGAAAGGGAATTAACTATACCACACCATAGGACTTATCATGCCCTCCTTGTGTCAGACTTCACTGTTGAGAAGTAAATTGTTACAGAAGAGAGCAGACCTTACTCTGTATTGTTAAATTTACAAGTATAGCATGGGGCAGATGCAACAGGTGACTGCAAAATCATGTCCAAACAGCTGCATCTAAATCAGATTTGAAGGTAGTGAACAGTTTTTTTATCTTGCTTTTATCTTTCAGCTGTGCACCTTTTTAATACAGTCTTCAACTTTTTCACTTCTCACCACTTTTAAAAGCTATTTTTAAAAAAACTGCTGTCCTCTGACAGTGATTCCCAGTATTGTTTGTTTTTAAATATTTACCTCCATCAAGGAAGTTTTCACTTCCATTTGTCTGTCTGTTTGTTCATCACCAGCCTAACTCAAAAATAATATATGGATTTTAATGAAATTTTCAGGATAAGTCAGAAATGAGCTAACTTAAAAGTCATTATAGTTTGGAAGTAATCCATTGATTAATTAGTGGTTAATTATTTGTTTATTAGCTGCCTTGGCAGAGGGTTGGCCTCTCCTAGTACTTTTCTAGTTATTGGTTAAATAAATCTTTGTCTCAAAATGATTTTTATAAAAACTGCATAATACAATAAGTAACACCAGGAATTTAAGATACCCTTTATTATGTTAAAAGCACAATATTTGGGGTACAACAAATTTTATAAAGGAGTAGTAATTGATATTCTTAAACATAAATTTGAAATCTAAACTGGCTAGGAAAAGCTGCTACAAGCAGCAGCATAATTAATATAGGGTATACGAATGGAGTATCCACAAAAATAATGCAACACACAATGAGGGTCTTCTGCATACACAAGGTTGAGTTTCACATGATGTATGCAAACAAGTTGATGCATTGTTAATAATTTTAAATCGGTAATCTTGTTTTGAAAGTCCGTTTTTCAGAGGAAGGCAATACGCTTGGAATAAGAGAAAATTTCAAGTTTCACCAATTGTTAAAATGCACACAATAAATCTATGTAGCCATCTATGTAGTCAAAGCAGTAAACATTCTTTACAAACTACAGTTGAATCATAACTTTCCATGTAAAAACTAGAGGCACCACATATAAAAATACCACTTTATAAAAATTATGCAAAAATGATGCAAGAGAAAAAATTACCTTCACTGACCAGATTACAATACCTTGAACTATCAATTCAAACATGACAGCTATTTTGAATCATACCAATCTAATTTAATCATATTAAGGTTAAAAACAGGTTCAAGTGGGGGGGAAATGTGAAAGTGAAAATGTATGAAAAAATCTTTCAAAATGTAACAAAACTCAAACAGTGGAAGGTTGGCTGTATGTATTTATCAGTAGTTATATACATTAAAACAGGTGAAATACTGTTAATACCCAAATTTCCCAGGAAAATAACTTGAGAAAAATTAATGAGCACTGTTCAAATTTAAAAAAAAAGCACATGATACAAAAATGTTCACAATATCCCTGAAGTACACTGTAATCAAGTGTGTTAGACTAGCCAATCAGACAGGGGTGGCTAACCTCCTGTAGTCTGCACCCCCAGTAGCATATTCAAAAGAAACAATAACACTGAAACAGTTTCAGTTGTTTCTTTCACTATTAAAGGAACAAGGAAAAATAAGCCCTCATATATTAAGACATTGCTCACTTGAACAAAAAAAAAAGCGTATCAAATTTTTTAGGAAACATTCTTTATTGTACAAAGGCCTTTTCCAAAATTTTGTTTGTTCTGCACACCCATTTGAGTGTGTGTGAAGTCAGCAACAAGTTTGAAAGCACTCCATGTTTAAAACCACTGGGTGGCACTATGCAGTGATGCATCATGGAAGAAAATGTTAACAAGGGTACAAAGGTGTAAAATGTGCCTTAGTGATCATAAGGAAACAGCTATACTATACCTGTATGACAAAAACAATATACCATAAAGAAATAATATCTTTGTACATATATAAGTATTTCAAAAGATCTTTAATACCAGGCAATATTGTGGCTATAGCATAAATATTATTATTTGTCATATACTCAGAAAGCATATGGGTCAAACTGCACAAATCACAGATCTAGACCACTTTTGATAAACATGATCTGAGGACAATGTGAAGTCACAAAATCTAATAGCTGCAGGATAATTAAGAGAATAAGAAAACAGAGCTCTTTATATACTGTCAGATGAATATTCCCAAAAAAGTCAGAATATCCAGAGAATTTCACCTATTTCCTCGATGTTGCAAATATTAGTTTGTCTTCCAAATGTTTGCAAGTTGCAGACAGGACTAGAACAGTTTCACCAGTGAAATGTGAAGCAGCTGACTGTGAAAGATCACACGGAACATACATACCAAGTACAAATTACCATCTGAAAAGTTTTTTTTTTTTCAAAAGGGAAATTCTTTGAATGAAAAATCCATATAAATTCTGCCAGCTGTTTGTATTATGAACATTTCACTTTAATATTTCACAGTTGCATTGTGTGATTAACAGAATAAAATGTGTCCAAACATGTAAAGGTATCAGGAAGAAAATCTCTAACAAAGGTAAGCAAAAAACATCTAATCAGTGATAAGGTATGGGATAATAAAATAAAACATGACCGTATTTATAAAATAGGTCATTTTAGCCCATACCATTGGTCTTACACTGGGGTCTCAGGTTAACACTGAAAATGATATGAAATTAACTATGCAATATTCCCTGCCTATTCATCAAAAATACTTACATACGGTACACCTAACTGTCAAAGAGACACATTCCCATTATTCTTTTTCAAAACTGTAAATCATCATGCAGTTGAACCCTAGATTCACAGAAAATTCTGTAATCTAATATCGAAGTCCATAACACGTAATAAAGACATAAAAATTTAAGGTGTTGTAAGTCCCATGTACAGAAAGCTGCTACCACTGAAAATACTATGACTTGACTTCAGCCAATCTTTTTCCTCCTACAATTGCAGTCAGCAGGTTACACTTACGAATACATCGTGGTTTGGATGAACTGAAAAAAATAATGTTAAGTTGTCAATTTGATTAAGTTTTACTGAGGATTTAACTTGCTCAGAGGGACAATACTACCAACTGTGTATATCCTTGCCAGTAGAAATAATATACCAGGGCCATTTTCAGCTAACTTTATAACTTATATACAGAAAAGAAAAAAAAACTAAGCAAGGTTAGTTGCAAAACATCTTTCCTAGTGTTTTTGGAACAATGACAAGTAAACATTTGTAAACATTTACTTTCAGTGTGAGAGCACTTATCAACAGTTTTAAATCTGAAGTCCACCACAGAAAACAATTTACCTGGTCCAAAGTGAATGTTGCTGCACCTGTTTTGTTTGGATCCAGACTAGTAAAGGTGTCTGTAAAGAAATACAGAATTGACTTTTTGATTTACATGGTTTCATGATACACTTTCTTATTTTCATAGTTAAAAATGCTAATCTCTGTTAACAGAGTTTAAATTAAGTAATAATAAACATCATGAACAGACAGAATGATTCAGATATAATATACACAGACTTTGTCTTTTTATGAATTATACATACACCTGTAATCATAAATAACACATAAATTGTCAAATTTGGGACAATAATTAAAATAACAAAGTTCAACTATGGTTGAAATGCAAACATGAATATGGAGTTAAAATAACTACAAGGATCCATTAAGTAAGTGATGGCATCATTACAAATCCAGCTATAGTATACCAGCCCTTACAAGCTCTGTGATACCAATTAACTGAATTTTGGATAGCATTATGTTAACTTGTTTAACAGTGGCTCACTTACCAAACATAGTCTTCAGACGGACAGCACACAAGATGAAATCATCAAAGAAAATTGCACCATGTTTGTCAGCAAAGCGCATCACCAAGGCATTGAAAGTCTGGTTGCTTACTCTCATACCTGTTTAAAATGAATTTGAAGATGCTGATAAAAATGTTATTTACTTTTTTTATTATCAATGTTGGACAATACAATACTTAAGTTATTTGTAAAATAATGTTTAACAGTTAGAAAAGTGAATCTTGCTCTTTGAATTTTATCAAATGTGGGTTCTGTTTCTTAGTTCATTTATTTCCATCCTTTGGTCTGCAGGTCAGCCTGTACTCACCAACATTATTAAGAGCATTCCTTAGCTCATAGGAATTCAGAGTTCCACTCATATCTTTGTCAAACTGTTTGAAGACACTCTGTTAAATAAAAAAAACAGCATAGATTATACCAACAGGGAGGACATGCATGGATCAACAAAAAACATGCTAAACAAATAAACCATCATACTTCATAGCTCAATCTCATCATATACCTTTAAAAAATTGAATTAAAAAATGAATCACAATTAAGTTTTTTTCACTTTGGAAACTGTTTACCTTCCACAGTCTTAGGTCATTCCACAGTTTCTGGAACTCCTCAAAGCCAAGTTTCCCTGACTGATCCACGTCCATCATGGCCACCATACTGCGGCAAGTTTCCATACTGAAGCCATCAAACTTAAATTCTAGAACCAGAAAAAAAACATGAAAGCATTTGGGAATATTGGAAAGAAAAACTTTTAATATTTCACACATTTGTTTAATGGCCTGACCACAATCAATACTTTGATAATTAATTCTCAAAATGGAATTAAAAATTGACCTTACCCATAACTTAAAAATACCAACTCAAGATGAGGTTCCCCTTATTATCACACTTATTATCATTGTCATCATCATTATAATAGTTATGTGTTTTTTTTATGAGAAACACAGTCTTACAGTTTTAGCAATATAGCCACTACATATCATCCAATTACATATAAATGCACTGGGAAATACCATAATACTGGATTTTCAGTATAGGAAAATTTCCATTTCAAACATAATACTGAAGAGGCCTAATACTGAAGAAGTGTAGAATGACATATATATTCACATACTTGCAGTCATACTTAACTCTAATCTAATGACATATCACAACATTAAAAAAGACACATTAATAAAACATTTACTTAAGAATTTCAGTATCTCCATGGTGTAAACAGATTTATTAATTTATCATCTATTAAAAATTAACCAGATGTTCAGTAAACCATGGGGACCCAACTTCTTGGTTCATACTCCCTCCTGGGCATATTATTATGAATGTGAAATAAAATTCATTTAGTGGGAAATCTAAACATAAGATACACTTTATTTGAAAAACATAGAATCTCAGAAATCAAACCATATGAAACAGCTGGCAAACCTGTGATAATGCTTGGTATACACCTAAGATCAGGATTGTTCAATTTTATACAAATATGTCCTGACTATTAGATGTGGGAATAGAAAATTGTTTTTGTCAAAAAAAATATGACTATGCAACAGAAAGATCAAATTTCAGCTTAAATCTAAACTAATCACTTATAAGCTATCATGTTTAACTACAAGAGTTCTAATTACAGGATCTCCTTTCTCAATGTTCTCTTTTCTCTAATTACAATATCTTTTTCCTCAACTTATGCAACTTCATAACTTTAAACATCACAGGAAAAAAATAATTTCATATCACTTTGAAACAAATGAAAACCATGTTTTTTTCTTATTTTCAATTAATCCCCTGAGCCATTAATATAAGAATTTTATTCAGGATTTCCTAAATTACCTACACCAATAAGCAGAAATACTATTATTGTCACTTCAACAAAATGCTCTAGCTGCATCCTAAGCAGTGTTCTAATTGCAACAGGCTAATTTCATTGCTAAGAATTTGTCAATTAACTTATTGACTTATAAATATCCTTGTAAAAAATAATAATAATTATTATTTGAAAAAGTACAGCATAGGGAATGCACAAAGGTCTTGGGAAGTAAGAGCAACTGGCATGCAATGTTCTGCATTTATGCTACACAAGAGGTTTTCTTTCATATACAAATAAATGACAATGGGCAGTTGTATGCAACAGTGTGCCTAAGGTTTCTTAAAATTGTCTCTGGAATACAAATTTACAATGCATGTGTGCTTTGAAATAATGGAAGCAAAGCTGACGAGGATTTGATGCAACAACATTTAATGAGATGCAACAAGTCAATATTGTCTCTCCACTTAAACAACAGAGCAGACGGAGGGTGTAACATTGCAATAGAGCGACTCGGGAAGCATCTGGCACAAATGCCTGACAGATACAGAGTTCTATGGGGTCTTGCAAAGATCCATAGGCCTTTTAGCTGCACCTACATGTATACATATATAATCAAGCGTATGGTAATTTGAGGTGCAATAAAAATAGCTACGCACACTATTTTGTTCAAGTAGGTCAAAATGATTATTCACATTCTTGGTGGAGTATCATTTAAAATGTCATTTGTCTTAAAAGGTTGTATCATTGAATGCATATACTATAAAGGGACCCTTATAAAATGGTATTCTTCAGAGGATGAGTAGAGCTAAAACATATCTCTATATGAAAGTGAACTTTGCACCACCTCAAACACCTTTCCAAACTGAACTGATAACACTCACACACCTGTGAATTAGAATGAAAATCATGGTGTGGAAAAAAGGGCTGACAATGTACTGTATGGTGAAATATTGGAAAATTCAACCATTGTTGTTCAGCATTATATGTTGTGTATAGGTCATGGCTGCCATGTTAAGGGTCAAGTCATCATATTCAAAGTCTGCTGTACAAAGCTGTCACCTAAACCAAGGTGAATAAAATCAGTAAGCTATCTTGATTGAATTGCAGAAGACACTTGTGTTGAAACAAAATGTTCTATACGGCCATAAGTGACTCCTGGGGCAGCATATAGTAAATTTAGTCTTAGATTACAAAAGAATTATATCCCAAAAATTGGTCTAAAGTTCTAGGTACAAAATTTGGTCTAGGTCAGTTAAAGATAAATCTATAGTAGTTCACTTAAATAAAGAAAGCATTGGTCTAAAACATTTGCTATGTCTTTCAAGCTAAAAATCAGACACAACATGTCATTTAACTGGGGCACTTCTGTTATATCTTGGACTGAAATTTGGGTCAAAAGTTCTTTTTTGAAACAGCCCCCTGACCATATTTTCTAGATGATGGCAGCTAATACTAAAATTCTTGAAAACCAAAGAAACTTGTTAAAGTGATTTTTTTGTGTGAAGTCTTATTAGCTGACCTGTTAATATAATTTCATCTGGAGATACTTCTAATTTGTCAATGGTTAAAAGCAACAATTTGCATAACCAAGTAACACTGTGCTCAAGTAGGAGAATTGACCAAAATCAAACAGAATACTTCAGATTGAAAACTAAATTTCTGCTTGTCTAAGAGATTAAGCAAAGCAATATGATAGATGTTATGATTGAAACTTTTGATATAAAAAAGTTGAACTATACACATGATTTGCTAAAATTAATAGTCTAATTTCTTTTAAAAATTTTTTTAGTTCAAAATTTTGTCAACTCATCAAAATAATTCTACAAGAGAATAGCATTCTATCCTAAAAGAGAAACTAGAGAGATTGCATCTGCAAAACATCAAGGAGTGACAAAACATACACATAGAAACATCACATAAAACACTTCACAGCACCTACCTTCCACTATGGGAGATAAAATCAAGTACACAGACATTAAAATTTTCTGAATGCATTTATACAATATTTACCCAATATCCAAGGGCAAGTCATTTTGATATCATAAAATAGTGTTTTAGTGTCTGCCAAAATTTACAAAAAAAAAATTGCTTAAAATATTATTTTCTTTCCACAATAAGAAAAATACTTTTTCAAAAATCAACTTCAAATTTCCAAAGAAACAGTCATCTTTGAAGAAATTATAATATGATGGATTATTTAATAAGAAACCTGTTATCATTATCATAGGTCATATAATTTAATTTTGTTTGCTCATTTTGCTGAATACCAGCAATTATTAATTTTTTATACCTCTCATAAATGCCGCATTAAGCACATCGCGCAGTTCATGAGCATCGATTTCCATATCCTCCCCAGCCACACGATGGAAAGTCTCCCGAAGTTTCTGAGTCTGCTGTTCATCTTGTGGAGTGACAGGAACCTGAGGCTGAAAGAACATTAGTAGGCAAAATGAGCATGGCTATATTTTTTTTCTGAAATGTGTTATAAAAATGTCACAACTAAGTCTTAGAAAAATGACAAAACTTCAATCTGGAGCTTGGAGAAATTGGCATAAAAAATTGTTAAAATTTAAATAATCAAACAAAACACAATTAAACATAAGATATCATTAATGAAAGCAAAAGAAAAATTTAACTGAGAAAAGCACAAGGGACTCTAGTTTAAATGAAAAGCTGGACAAAATAACATATACTGATTAATAAATACCTGAACCATTACATAAACAATTACAAAAAACCAGCATGCATTTTAGTCTCTTTATAAACAGTAACTGGACATAAATTTCAAGGCAAAATTATTTTAAATTTGATAGTAGGCATGTTACCTACTGTCTGAAAACAAGGTTCTAATTATGTGTCTGATATCTCTTATTCTGTATTACAGGTACCATTGATAACATAATTGATAAAAATATTTCTAGAAGTCGAATACTACAATTGAATAAAAATCTAAAATTCTAATGAATAAAAATCCACAACAATGAAATATGAATCAAATAAAATATATGACCAATGAAAAACCAATGTGCCTGACTGAATAGGGACAAAGATACAGCATTCAAGAAATAAACATGTACACATTTTGTCAACTGATAAAGCTTTAGGCTAACATTAAGGGTGAAAATTGACTAAAATGTGAGGATGTCAATGGGTATGTAACTTAACAAGGACCAAAAAAAGCAGTCTTAAAAAGAATAGACTGAATATACATTACTGCCGACCTTCTCCACACTCAAATCAAAATAAATTTTCTAAAAATGTGATTTTAATCAAAAATACAATGTGAAACAAATCAAACCTAATACACCAAATGCTGAGTAATTAATTTTTTCATGAAAGAAAATTTTTTTAGAAAGACAAATCATTGAAGGTCTAATCACTTGCAAAGGACAATAGGCCAAACCTAGCAAAGCAAACCTGCTCAATCTGCTGAAAATCACAACTTTTTAATAAAAGTCAAAACTGACATGAAGATTTTCTTTAAAAGCTACACACTAACTGGTGACAACAGATATGCCCACACTGTATGCCAACCACACTTTGTCAGTATGGAAAAAGTAAAACACACAACAGAATAAACAAAAGGGGCCCTTCATATTCACATATATCCATTCTTTTAATACATTTCTTTGAGCAATGACATACAGATATACTGATTTCTTAGTTTCAAATTTTTCTTCATTAATTAAATGACTTGTCTCTTTCAATGATCTCTTTCTTTTGTTTTGATGGGAATAACTTTTAAGTATGAGAAAAAGCAAGGTTTTGTAATGCCTTTTACTTGCTTGTTGCAGTGCAATTCAGTGCATTGAGCCTCAAGACATGTTCAGGACAATTTGATAATCAATAAATATTACAGACTGTGTAAGGCAAGTTTCTAAAATGATGTATGTTTTTGACTTTTATCTTCAGTAACAATTACAAAAGAAGACATGTATGCATCCATTATCATAAAAGTCATGTAATATATTCGTTTTTGGTAATATTTCTGGATATTGTATTTAAGAGACTGTAGTTCTTTTTTCTCCGGGCTTTATATTTTTGATAAACCTTCATGTATGTATTACAGGTCATCTATATCACAAGTTCAAAGTGCTTTGCAATTTAAACAGCTAACCATCATCAAAACCCAAATATACTGCCCCACAATAAAACAAAACACTGGAATGAAAACTTTACAGGACAACCTTGGTATAATCAGACACACATCAAATGATAAGAAGAGTGAAATTCTGTTAGTAACATTATCAGGGAGTAAAACAACAGTATGGAGTTCAAGATCATTTTCACCAACCTCAACTCCATGCAGAAAATCCCACACCTCATTTCATGCATATATAAATATATCCCATTACTTTAGAACCATAAGCTTTGACACCCCACTCCCTCTGTAGAGAATCACTTACACCTGGTTTATGCGGGAAGCCATTCTGTCAAAGAGCAAAAAAAGATGTCAAAGGGCGTAACTCAGTGTTTCATTTTCCTTTTCCCTTTCATTATCTGTGTAAGAATGCTGACATTCTTTTCTTCTCATGCTCTGCTGTTTATCTTATAATGTGCAAGGTGTATTTTTCTTGTAATCTGCTGGCTGCACTCCATCTTAATTTTGATAATTCATTATACTGGCTTTCTCTCTAAATAGTAGAAAGACTACCCACTGCAATATAACTGCCAAACATCTGCAGCAGAGATTAAACCAGGTGATTTCTTAATCATTCTAGCTGTGCATATTTTTTTCTTTAAATTCAGATAATCCATGCTTCCTCTGATCAATTCTATCAGGTTCTCAGTATTTAGCCAAAAGTGACAGCTGTCTATGAAGTAGCATTTGCTAGGCTATACAAGTACCTTATCACAAATTTAAAGAGAGTGTAAAAACAGAATAAAACTTCTGCAGTTATTGAACTTGTAATTGAAAGGTCCAAGGAAGAACAAAGAGCCCTTCACATTGAGCAGAATGCTTTAGTGATACAGCCTAAGAGGCCATTACATGTAATTTATGCCACAGGGGGGGGTTACTCCCTTTCATAAGTTTCATGTCCATTTCTTGCTATTAATTATTTAAGTCAAGTTAGTCATTTGCCAGTGTCCACCTCAGAGGCTCCACTTATGTGACTCTCTTATGTAAAAGCCAGACCATTAGGTTCCAATTTATTTAAGTGCACAGGTAGAGACTGAATGGTTTAAGCATACTGCTTGATGCGAAAAGGGCTTAACATAGGGTACAGTTATAGATAATCAGATATAGATGGCAAATAAGGGAATGAAAAAAAAAAACAATCAATATCCATAGGGAAAGTAGAAGAAAATTGTTGAAGAAAGTAAAGAAAATTGACTTCATAAGCAATTTCAAAAGATATTCTTATCTGACATATGGTCTCTCTGATATCCCCACCCCCACCCCCCACCCCTGAAAAAATCCATTGAACACCAAATATCCTAATAACTAAAGGGCTACAAGTACCAGTTTTGGTGCACTAATCATCTACTTGATATTTTAAACATGGTTTCCATACCTGTACGTCAGATATGCCAGTCTTTTCATCAATGGCACTGAAAAGAAAAGAATAATAATAATTAATTAAATGCAACACAAATTATAACCATTTATAAAGGAAAAGAAATTATTTGACTACTGATATCTAGATTTAGTTATCTGTTATATCATAAATATTCTCATTACTCATCAAATCTTCTTTCTTATTGCTTTGCTTTATTTTTAATGGAGGTTTTCAGTAGATTCTGTTTTTACTAGATTAAAAGTTGCTTTAGCTTCTTGATTTATTTTGTTAAAAATCAAATTCAACCCAGTCCAATTACATGCAAAACACTAAAGAGAAACACGATGATAATACTTCCATAATTGCAAAGCTTCCTATAGTCTTAAAATAACCTAAACTTCATCCCAGTTAAAACATGTACCATAGTCTTATACCCAAAAGCACTGCCAGAAAACGACACACTATTTATAAAGTAAACTGTACACCTTGTGATCAATATGAAGATTTACCAGACACTCCTTGTTATACCCAGACAACTTAAAATATACCTTTAAAAATAGTTTTATCCCCTCTAGAAAAAAGGTAATATCTTTTACAGGATACCATTAATGTATATGAATTATATATTACAAAAAAGAGATACTTGTTGTTTATCAAATGTTGGGGTAAACATTGTTATTAATGCACTCTTGGTATACGGATATAGATAAAATACCACAAACACAATATTTAATTAATCAATTAAGTAGGAAAAATGAGTCTAAGGATATAGATAAAATACCACAGTCACAATATTTAATTAATCAATTAAGTAGGAAAAATGAGTCCAATCTAGCATTACTCTTTTAACCATTTGAAGTTTTTTTTTTTTGACCACCTACCATATTTGTAAAAAGTAACAAATATACCATTATAACAAGAAAATAAGCTGAATTTCTTATCCAAAATTTCAGCCACTGGCTAATATGTTACAAGCTAAAATGACCCAAAAATATATCAAATCTATTAGTGCCCCTAGGGATCCCATATATTTGATATAATCTGCACCAGTGCCCAGTATAACCCTATTTATAGCAGGTAAAACAATCACCCTGAATTGTTGGAAGTTACAGGATAGGGAGGGTAGCCTGGATACCCTGTCGATCCTGGATAGTCCGGTCCTACGGCAGGATACCCTGGGTATATGGGACCTCCTGCTGGGTACCCTGAGTATGGTGGGCCTGCTGCAGGATACCCTGGGCCTGCTGGGGGATACCCTGGGCCTGCTGGGGGATACCCTGGCCCTGCTGTAGGATATCCTGGGCCTGGTGGGGGATATCCAGAGTTTGTAGGTCCGACTGCAGGATACCCAGGGTAAACAGGTCCAGCTGCAGGATATCCTGGTTGAAGATTGGGGCCTGGAGTTCCTGAACTCCATGTACTCCCACTGTCACCACTATACGCTGTGTTGGCTGGATAGCCTCTATATCCACCAAACCAGCCATAATTAACATCTGTAGGAATCTTTGCTATAAATCTCCGTTTCATCTCACATTGGGTGCTGTGACATGTGCTAACTTCAGATAAGTTAACAGACCACGGAAATGACTATACTAAGGCCACCCTCCTACATCATTTGTAGCTTGATCACCTCTCACATAAAATGAACTAACAAGGGTGTGAGCATAAAACCTGGTGCTACATCTATATTCAACAGGATCTGGTTTAAAAGTAGGTCACATATAAAAGGAAAACAAGGTCATTTTCACCTTCGCCCACGTGTGTTTGAACAAACGTGTACATACTGTTGATTAATGTAGATAAAATACTTGTGGGGATTTAGAGTATTGTAAAGATATCTGTTGAACATAAAGCAAGTTCTTTTGAGTGAATGCCAATGTTTTTCATATATTACAGCCTTACATGTAAAAGGTACAAATTTATATGTGCCATCTTGCAATGTGGACTATTTCCAGGAAAATGCAAGACTGCTGAAGTTAAATAACATAGCAGACTTATATGATGAAGCAAGGAAAATAGAGGCACATAGATCTATATAATACTGTAAGGCAAGGGAAGTTATAAAAGTTTTTTAAATTAAATTATTTTTCATTTGTTAATTAATTATTTTTTTACTGTATAACTTGCAGGTAATTCCTTTCAGAGGAAATCTGGTTGATATACATATGGCATACTCCAGTGCATAAATATCAGATCTTTTGCCATATATTTTACTTGATTAAAACATAAAGAACCCATGTGCATGACTCATATTTCTTTTATGTATCTATGGAAGCAACAGCATATACATCTTCATGCATATTAAGAGATGTGGGAAGATCTTTTAAACATCCCCTGTTTTGCTGCTAATATGTGATGTCATTGTGTATATTTGCAGGGATGCCAATTTCCTGTATCTGACTCTTGCTGGGGCTTATTATCATAACTTAACAACATATGACTATCATGATGAACAATCTACACATTGTGAATATTATCATGCAGAGAACCCTGGATATGTGTAACCACTAATAATTTATGTTGGTATATTCAGCTGTGCTGTGCCCTGGGCATTAAGGGTATCGAAAGAATAATTGATGCATTTTGGGTATTTTTCATGTGTTTCATAATATATTTTGTATTATATTTCAGGTATTTTGAAAGTTTATGAAATATGCTTCAGGGTATGTCTTGGGGGGGGGGGTCTAAATAGCAGTATATAATCAGAAAATCTTAATTCTTATGCAAGGTCTTATAAAAGTAATATATGGTTAGTATAACATTGTACAGCATTAGTATATATCTATATATAATTAGAAGCCAAAAAACACCCAATATCCCAATACCAAATACCAATTCTGATGCCCATTATCCAGTACTGAATACATATATATATACACATTTTGATATAAAAGCCAAAAAATAAAAAGCTTTGAATAACTCACGCTCCTTTCCCCCTGCAAAATCATAGGCACAAATAACAAATACATAAGCATACAAGAATCAAGTACACAACTCTTTTCCCCTACTTAACTATATACATAGAAACAAATGGACAGCATAAATCAAATAAAAATTAGGCAACAAAAGCTGTCACATGTGCAAATCTGTTCATGCATCAACATTTGTGAAAATCACTAAACAATAACAGAATACATAATATTTATGCTTTAATTACATGCACTAAGATTAAGCTTTAACTGTTCAACTTTTTTTTTTTTGGCAAAGCATCACAGCCAAAGTCATCAAAATAATTCCATGAATATTGTAAAACTAGAGAACTTTGACATACCAATCTTTTTCAAATCATAGGCAAAAAGAAATTGCATTTTACCTACTACAGTTTAACATCTAACCTCAATAAGAAATCAGTGGGAATACATTTAATTGTTCCCGTATACTATCAATAATATTGAATCAAAGTATATACATGTATGACCATGTATATCCTCTGTTACACACATGAAATAAATAACGTTCGCTTTTTCTAAAAAAAATTTAACATTTACACACACATGAAACAGAAAACTGTGTAAATCGACATAAGTGTATGCTTTTTAACCAGAAATTATAATACAAATAATCCCCCCTGGTGCATGTGCATTTGACATCAATGGCTGATATTTTAGCTGTAATGTCTTAAGTTTTTCCAAGGGCTAAGATTTTTCATCAAGTATATAACCATTTATTGCTTAAAAACACATGCTACTGTACTATAATTATCTGGTCATGAATACACATTTTCATGGCGAAAAAAATATAAAAATAAATCAACTTACGCAGCTGTATTGGCTTTCTCTGTGAAGATTCTAAGTAGGAAATCCCCTTCCTGATTGGGCTCAAATGTGGAAGGGATGATGGCGTAAGAGCCAGGAGGCAGCTTGTGGCGCCCACACACTTCCCGCATGTTGATAAAGGAAGGAGACTTGGCAAAGGATGCATTGTACTTGAAGAAACGCAAGTCAAGGGGTCCACAGTCTGGATCTTTAAGCTGAAAAATCGATTGGCTCAGATCTTAACTATGTGTTCTCTAGCACCAGATGTTGGTTGGGTATACATAACCATGTGAAAATCGCTAATACAAAAGTCACCAGACTATTCTCCATATCATAAGTGCTCTATACAAGGATAATCTGCATATACCAGTAAACTTACTGGATGTGAACATACAGCATTATTAAAGATTTATTCAGAATCAATCAAAATTAAGTACTGGTGAAGCATCCTAAATGTCTGAGCTACACATATGCCTAATATGGTGCAATGTTGATGCCTACCAGATAGATGGCATAGCCAACAGTAAGAAGATCTAAGCCCTCTTTCTTCTTCTTACGCCTATCCTTTTGCATAAGTCCAACAATAATAGTGCATGTGTTGTCATCATCATCTTCATCTGGATCTGTCACTGAAATTCTGTATTGGGGGTTGGTCCAAAAAGTATCTGAGGATAACAAAAAAACAAAGTCAGGTCTACAGACTCGGAGAGAGAAAACACATACCATATTACAACACTTGAGTCGTTGCTATCAGAGCCCACTATTTTAGAGTATGGTGTCCCTCAGGGGTCTGTGCTAGGTCCATTGCTCTTTTCATTGTATATGCTACCAGTAGAAGACATTATAGTTAAACATGGTCTCAACACTGTCATTTTTGCTGATGACACTCAAATTTATGTCACAAGTGAAAGTAATCGCTCCATGGCTATCACCTCAATAGAAACTTGTCTAGTTGAGATCCGAAATTGGATGAAAACAAACATGCTAGCACTAAATGATGGAAAAACTGAACTAATATGGTTTACATCAAGGTCTAAGTCAGACAGGGGAAATGCAATGAAATCTGATATTTGTATCGGTGGTGTCAACATCAATCCATCTAGCTATGTGAAAGATTTAGGTGTCACCTTTGATCAGTATGCAACTATGGATAGACGGATCTCTGAAATTTGCAAATCGGCATCATACTCACTTTGGCGAATTAGTAAGATACGTGACTTACTGGACAAAACTTCAACTGAAAAACTAGTCCATGCTTTCATTACTTCTAAGCTTGATTATTGCAACAGTCTCTTATATGGTTTAGGCAAAAATCATCTGAACAAACTTCAATTAATTCAAAATTCTGCAGCTAGGCTGGTAACTAAAATGGGATGGAATAGCCGAGAGCATATAACACCTGTTTTGATGGAACTTCACTGGCTTCCAGTAAGAGAGAGAATTTTATTTAAAATTTTATGTGTCATTTTTAAAGCAGTCACTGAGAATAAACCACTTTATATCTCAGAACTTATGAAGCAACATCAGCATGGAAGAGTTACCAGGTCTTCAACTTTTAGTCATTTACTTTTAGAACACAGTGTCTTAGAGAAAAAAGCTGGTAAATTTTACGGTGAAAGGGCATTTATGATATATGCACCCAAAGTTTGGAACACTTTACCCTCTGAAATACGAGCAGCAGGTGACATAGATACTTTTAAAAAGCTTTTGAAAACTCATATTTTTAGAATAGCCTATCAGTA